CTGTAAAGTTTTTAAAGTGCTTTATAAATAAATCTGGTATGGTATGGTTTAACTTGACTGCAACAGTAAAACGCCAGTGTTGGGTTTCCGGTTTACATGGAAACAGTGTTTCAGGGGGGTGGAGATGCAAGCGTTGAGAAAGAGTGGGGGGTTGTTTCACAGCCGTGTGATTAAAAAGGTCTCTACGTGTGCTTCGAGCGTCCGTATAAACAAAACCACGCAAAGCTGTAGTTTCAGTTTCCATTTTTGCAGTCACTGTTAAATGCATTCTTTCAGGTCTTTGCGGTGGCCTGAGGAGGATGTTGTAGAGTAACGTTCCACTTCCCACCACTGGCCGGGCGCTAGAACTACATTGTTTTCGGACGTGGTGTAGACTCTGTGCTCTTGAATAAGGAGTCTGGTCGTTTTAACCAATTGCTTTGCAGCATCTCCGTCTAAGCGGGGCCTTAATGTCCCCAAGGGCTAGATTTTAAGGATAAGCAATCCAATGTTTTCAAAAATCTTTTTTTAATATAACCATGTTCCCAGGTGTGCGATCTGTGATCACTCCGCAGATTATCTGCTCAAGGTTCTGGGAACATACGGCTGGTGTCAAACTCTCTTTCACTTGTGTCAGAACATACCGGGTCTGGCTATTTGGGCTCAGCTCGAAGCTGAGGTACTTGTGTGAGTGAAAAAGCTGTGAAAACAGATGTTGGCCAAAGCAAAGAACATTTTAAATGGATTCATACCACGGTCAGTGAGGACTCCAATGCAAACTACTGTTGATTAACACAGTTTAACAATCATGTTAAATTACCAACCTCTGCCGAGGTGTCACCATAGCAACATTGAGCACTAACAGTTAACCTCCACTTTGGTTCATAAAGTTAGTTTTAAAAGTTATATGGGTCATGGCAAAAGTTGCTAAAGAGCTTTTGACTTTTGCTCTTAAAGTAGTCCCTTTCCTCAAACATGTATTTTAAAAGTGGAGAGGACAAAACATATATATTTTCTAACATATTATGAGTGTGTGAATATTTTGACAAACCCTAAGCCGATGAAACAATTTGGGACACTACAAATACATACATGAAGGTTTTCTCCAGAACACTGAAACTGTGAACGAGACTTTGTACCGTTTTATGACCACAGAATCATGGAACCACTGTGTAAGATATGGACATTTAAAGAACGTGTCGGGGTGGTTCTGCTGCTGTGGTGTTCTGGATAGAGCTGCTACTCCATAATGGCTCTGTATATAACAGGCTCTATGTAGTCCCCTCTGTAACGCGAGTTTATCACTCTCTGCCTCTTGGACTCCTGGATGATCTCCTTCTCTTCAAAGATGCCGTCAAAGCGCATGTCCGAGGCCTTGGACTGGAAAACAGGGCACATAGTGAGGTTAGAGAGCATGCAACTGGAAAGCATGAAATTCTCACAAGTGGAGAAGATTGCTGAATTGAGGCAGAAGATTTGGCAAATGCTTTTAATGATTTCTACTGACGCGTTGAGAAAAATTACTTTTCAAAGGAGGTCTCTCTCCTCAGAGACAATATGTCACCCAGCTGTGATAGTTATTAGCCAGGAGTGCGTGAGGGACCTTTAAAGAGAGTGAATATCAGAAAGTCGGTTGGCCCAGACAGAATGTGTGGTCGCACACTTCTGCACTGACCAGACAGAATGTGTGGTCGCACACTTCTGCACTGACCAGACAGAATGTGTGGTCGCACACTTCTGCACTGACCAACTCGGTGCTGAGCTCCAACGTGTGTTTCAGCTTCACTTGACTTCAATCCAATCCCAAGTATGTCAAATCAAATCAAATCCCAAGGTCTCTCTCTGGTCTCCTCTCTCTGGTCTCTCTCTCTGGTCTCTCCCTCTGGTCTCTCTCTCTGGTCTCTCCCTCTGGTCTCTCCCTCTGGTCTCTCTCTCTGGTCTCTCTCTCTGGTCTCTCTCTCTGGTCTCTCTCTCTGGTCTCTCTCTCTGGTCTCTCCCTCTGGTCTCTCTCTCTGGTCTCTCTCTGGTCTCTCTCTCTGGTCTCTCTCTCTGGTCTCTCTCTCTGGTCTCTCTCTCTGGTCTCTCTCTCTGGTCTCTCTCTCTCTGGTCTCTCTCTCTGGTCTCTCTCTCTGGTCTCTCTCTCTGGTCTCTCTCTCTGGTCTCTCCCTCTGGTCTCTCTCTGGTCTCTCTCTCTGGTCTCTCTCTCTGGTCTCTCTCTCTGGTCTCTCTCTCTGGTCTCTCTCTCTGGTCTCGCTCTGGTCTCTTGTGTTCATATGTTTGTATAGGGCTCCACTTATTTCCTGTGTTTTTATGTTATTTGTTTATGTGCTGCTCAAATGAATTGTCCCTGTGGGATAAATAAAGTCTGAGTCTGACACACACTATAATTTGATAAGACTCTAAAATGTTTAAAATGTATATTTCTCAAAAATGTGGCAATGAAACCTCGGTTTTTATCTAATATCTTTTTTCTGCCTGAGATGTTGCTGTAGTACAGGATTCATGGTTTTACACTGGTCCAGACCAGAGCAGAGAGGATTCATGGTTTTACACTGGTCCAGACCAGAGCAGAGAGGATTCATGGTTTTACACTGGTCCAGACCAGAGCAGAGAGGATTCATGGTTTTACACTGGTCCAGACCAGAGCAGAGAGGATTCATGGTTTTACACTGGTCCAGACCAGAGCAGAGAGGATTCATGGTTTTACACTGGTCCAGACCAGAGCAGAGAGGATTCATGGTTTTACACTGGTCCAGACCAGAGCAGAGAGGATTCATGGTTTTACACTGGTCCAGACCAGAGCAGAGAGGATTCATGGTTTTACACTGGTCCAGACCAGAGCAGAGAGGATTCATGGTTTTACACTGGTCCAGACCAGAGCAGAAAGGATTCATGGTTTTACACTGGTCCAGACCAGAGCAGAGAGGATTCATGGTTTTACACTGGTCCAGACCAGAGCAGAGAGGATTCATGGTTTTACACTGGTCCAGACCAGAGCAGAGAGGATTCATGGTTTTACACTGGTCCAGACCAGAGCAGAGAGGATTCATGGTTTTACACTGGTCCAGACCAGAGCAGAGAGGATTCATGGTTTTACACTGGTCCAGACCAGAGCAGAGAGGATTCATGGTTTTACACTGGTCCAGACCAGAGCAGAGAGGATTCATGGTTTTACACTGGTCCAGACCAGAGCAGAGAGGATTCATGGTTTTACACTGGTCCAGACCAGAGCAGAGAGGATTCATGGTTTTACACTGGTCCAGACCAGAGCAGAGATGATTCATGGTTTCACACTGGTCCAGACCAGAGCAGAAAGGATTCATGGTTTTACACTGGTCCAGACCAGAGCAGAGAGGATTCATGGTTTCACACTGGTCCAGATCAGAGCAGAGAGGATTCATGGTTTTACACTGGTCCAGACCAGAGCAGAGAGGATTCATGGTTTTACACTGGTCCAGACCAGAGCAGAGAGGATTCATGGTTTTACACTGGTCCAGACCAGAGCAGAAAGGATTCATGGTTTTACACTGGTCCAGACCAGAGCAGAAAGGATTCATGGTTTTACACTGGTCCAGACCAGAGCAGAGAGGATTCATGGTCTGAACCAAGTGGATCAGGCAAAAATCCACTGGAGGAATGCTAACTTTTTGAAAAATGCTTTAGTCCAAAGTAAAATGCAGAATGCTTTGAGCAGAGAAAATGGTTTGAACCAAGCGGCGTCTCCACCTCTGCTGCTGTGACCAGTCCTGCTCCACCCAGAGGCTACTCCACCTCTGCTGCTGTGACCAGTCCTGCTCCACCCAGAGGCTACTCCACCTCTGCTGCTGTGACCTGTCCTGCTCCACCCAGAGGCTACTCCACCTCTGCTGCTGTGACCAGTCCTGCTCCACCCAGCGGCTACTCCACCTCTGCTGCTGTGACCAGTCCTGCTCCACCCAGAGGCTACTCCACCTCTGCTGCTGTGACCCGTCCTGCTCCACCCAGAGGCTACTCCACCTCTGCTGCTGTGACCAGTCCTGCTCCACCCAGAGGCTACTCCACCTCTGCTGCTGTGACCTGTCCTGCTCCACCCAGAGGCTACTCCACCTCTGCTGCTGTGACCCGTCCTGCTCCACCCAGAGGCTACTCCACCTCTGCTGCTGTGACCAGTCCTGCTCCACCCAGAGGCTACACCACCTCTGCTGCTGTGACCAGTCCTGCTCCACCCAGAGGCTACTCCACCTCTGCTGCTGTGACCAGTCCTGCTCCACCCAGAGGCTACTCCACCTCTGCGGCTGTGACCAGTCCTGCTCCACCCAGAGGCTACTCCACCTCTGCTGCTGTGACCCGTCCTGCTCCACCCAGAGGCTACTCCACCTCTGCTGCTGTGACCTGTCCTGCTCCACCCAGCGGCTACTCCACCTCTGCTGCTGTGACCAGTCCTGCTCCACCCAGAGGCTACTCCACCTCTGCTGCTGTGACCCGTCCTGCTCCACCCAGAGGCTACTCCACCTCTGCTGCTGTGACCAGTCCTGCTCCACCCAGAGGCTACTCCACCTCTGCTGCTGTGACCAGTCCTGCTCCACCCAGAGGCTACTCCACCTCTGCTGCTGTGACCCGTCCTGCTCCACCCAGCGGCTACTCCACCTCTGCTGCTGTGACCAGTCCTGCTCCACCCAGAGGCTACTCCACCTCTGCTGCTGTGACCCGTCCTGCTCCACCCAGAGGCTACTCCACCTCTGCTGCTGTGACCAGTCCTGCTCCACCCAGAGGCTACTCCACCTCTGCTGCTGTGACCCGTCCTGCTCCACCCAGAGGCTACTCCACCTCTGCTGCTGTGACCCGTCCTGCTCCACCCAGCGGCTACTCCACCTCTGCTGCTGTGACCCGTCCTGCTCCACCCAGAGGCTACTCCACCTCTGCTGCTGTGACCCGTCCTGCTCCACCCAGCGGCTACTCCACCTCTGCTGCTGTGACCGGTCCTGCTCCACCCAGCGGCTACTCCACCTCTGCTGCTGTGACCCGTCCTGCTCCACCCAGAGGCTACTCCACCTCTGCTGCTGTGACCGGTCCTGCTCCACCCAGCGGCTACTCCACCTCTGCTGCTGTGACCTGTCCTGCTCCACCCAGAGGCTACTCCTCCTCTGCTGCTGTGACCTGTCCTGCTCCACCCAGAGGCTACTCCACCTCTGCTGCTGTGACCTGTCCTGCTCCACCCAGCGGCTACTCCACCTCTGCTGCTGTGACCTGAAGGGCTGTTGCTTATTATTACTATTGTTAGCTTTATATCATGATGTATCTTAATCAAGGTTGTAAATATAAACACTGAACAAGAGGGGCCCAAAAATGGAGTCTTGGGGCACCCGACCGATCCGTCTAAAAAAGGCGACATAGTGCTTTTAACTCTTGTGCAGTGTTTTCTACCCGCGCTGTTTGTGATAGCTAAGAAATGTATGTACGACTCAAACCAGAAAGATTTAATTATCATCAAAATAGTCTTGCAGTTTTAAAATGCAAGGGTCCAATCCTCAAGCTGCCTTTGAACCTAATAGCACCCTGCAACACTTACTTCTCAGTCACCTTAGTTAGTCTTACAGGTGTTCTAAGTGCCAGAGGAGAATTGTCATTCACGCCCAGACTTCCCTATCCACACACACCTCCACCTCATCCGAGGGAATCCCCAGGCGTCCCGAGAGTCCATCCAACATGCCTTCCCTCACTCATAAAAAAGACCAAGATACTTGAGGCAGCTCCTCTCCACCCACCTGGAGAGGGCAAGCCACCTTTTTCCGGTTGAGCACCATGACCTTGGATTTAGCTGATTTAGCTTCACACTCGTCTGCAAACTGTCCCAGTGCATGCTGCAGGTCCTAGTTAGTTGGAGCTGGATTGGCCATCGGGCGTACCGGGCAATGCCCGAAGGGTCGTTGCCCACATCTGGACTGGTCTGCCTGCCCAGGCTGGACACGCCTGACCACAACAGACCCTACACGCGCATACAACTATTTCCTTGCTTGGTGTTTGCGTGTCTTTGCGTAACCTGTGCACGCAATAAATGCACTGCTGAAGCTCGACTATGGAGCCTCAGGAAGTGCCCGTGTATCCCCCGTGTCTCCCCCGTGTCTCCCCCCTGAAGCGCAACTAAACTCGCTAAATTAAAGTCCAGGCCTGGTGGTTACCAAACTGAACTACCTATGGCCCCTGGCTGCGGCAAAAAACTCCATCCATGGCAACTGAACAGAACCCATGACTTAATGCCAGAGATGTGAACGCAGGTCTGACTCCGGTCATACCGGGATCAGACGCCCCTGTGTGGCGCTTCTTTCATATACTATTGTCCAAGTTTTTTTAGACGAGTTTTGTAGCCCCAGAGCAAAGCGGGGGCCCCCATGTTGTCAGCAGTGTGTGTGTTAAACAGGCGAAGCACCAAAAGATCGGAATTTTGACTGAGTTTTTAAAATATCTCAATTGTGTGTCGAGATATCACCCACCCCAACAAACATTACCAATTTTGTTTCCACATGCCAAGGGAAAAAGAGTAAATGGGTTTGTTTTTCAATGGAATTCCATTGTTTAGGAATTCCATTGTTTAGGAATTCCGTTGTTTAGGAATTCCGTTGTTTAGGAATTCCGTTGTTTAGGAATTCCGTTGTTTAGGAATTCCGTTGTTTAGGAATTCCGTTGTTTAGGCGACAGAACTGTCTAGTCTTGGTATTTTTGAACTGTTCCTTTTTTTTATTGTAACTTGTATATTTTGTATAACCATGACTGCTGGAAACATCAGGATTCATCTCAATTCCTTTTAATAAACGTTTAACTAAACACGCACTGACACACAACGACACGCACAGAAATGCACTGATACACAAATTGACACACACCAAGACACACTGACAAACACTAACACGGACACACACTAACACGGACACACACTAACACAGACACACACAGACACACACTAACACGGACACACACAGACACACACTAACACGGACACACACACACACACACTAACACAGACACAATCTAACACGGACACACACTAACACGGACACACACTAACACGGACACACACCAACACGGACATACACTAACACGGACACACACAGACACACACTAACACGGACACACACGGACACACACTAACACGGACACACACTAACACGGACACACACGGACACACACTAACACGGACACACACGGACACACACTAACTCACCAGTCTGGACTTGACTCTCTTTGGGAGCTCCTCGTCGAGAGTGTACACGTCATCTCTCTTGGCTGTGAGCTGAGAACCGTCTTCAAACTCCACCTGCACAAACAAAAACTTCACCTCAACTAAAACTTTTATCTTTTTCAAAAGACAAATGTAAAAACAACCTGTAAAAAAATCTGTAAAAAAAAGACGTTTTGACTTGTGTAGTCCAGCTATTTTAAAGTTGGGAGTGACAGCCTGTGGTGCTGCTTTGTCGCACTGTGGACAATTTAAGGCATGACCATTTGTTTTCCAGATGAATTTAGTGACAGCACTTCAATGGAAACCTATCCCTATAACGTGCTGGAGGTGGAATAGGGATCATAAAACGTATGCGTTTATTTCACTGATGAAATCCAAGAAGAGAATTTTGTAGAGTTTCTGTCTGCCTAAAAAGTTATATGACCTAATGTACTTTCAAATTCTGTTTTAACACTAGATTGCACAGATGGAATTTCAGCAGGGAGAATATGATATTTTAGGGACTGATTGAACATTCCCCATATGCAGCAGACATATAACTAATGTTGTGTTTTATTGAACTTAACAAAAGAATGCTTAAGAGCTCTCCTGGGCGGACATTGGAGAGGATGTCTACAAGGAAAGGGAAAGAAGAACCTAAAAATGTCCGGTAAAGACATATTGAAAATACTGGCATAGTCCAAAATCTCTGAGCACACATCTACCATATGTAAAACCCTGGCTAAGAATGGTAATCATGGCAGAACTCTATCGACTCCATAGTTTGGACCATAGACTGTAATTATTAACGGACGTAGTCACGCGTATCTCCGCCATTGAAACTAATGTGCTACCACGTTTGCAGTCTATGGGCAGTTTCAAAGGCAACAAAACAACTCTATTCACTTTGTGACGTGCACATGGCAACACTTTGGCCCGTTTAGACAGAGACGCTGTGGAGACGCAGCAAAGCAATTCACAAACACAATCAGGCTCCTTATTCAAAATGCACAGCGTCTAAACAACGCTGGAAAATGATGCAGTTCTAGCGCCCGGCCAGCAGTGGGAACTTTGTGACCCCAACCAGTTTAATCACTTCAACAACATCCTCCTCAGGCCGCCGCCACGACGTCAAAGAATGCATCAACAACATTCTGCATTTAACAGTAGCAGCGAAAATGGAAAGTTAAACTACACCTTCATGTGGATTTGTTTGGACGGACGGAGTAGAATTCTCCTTGTAGCGCTCGAAGTAAGTAAGTAAGTAAGTAAGCTTTATTTATATACCGCCTTTCACAGACCAGAGTCACAAAGCGGTTTTACAATTGTTATTTTTGGGCACTTGTCTCTCACTCCACACAGAGATGGGAGCACATGTTAGCATTTGTTGACCCGCCGCTGCTGTTGTTTACGTTTGTTCTCGGCTACTACGCACGTACAAGCAGGGAAGTGGAGACGCCATTGCAGCCAGAGAATTCATATATTGTTCTTTACACAGCTGTGAAACAGGCCGCGCAGTGTTTCTGTTCCACTCGTTTCCACCCGAGACACTGTCTTTGTGTAAACAGAAAGCCAATCCAAATCCCAACTAAAGTTTTACTGTTGCAGCCCCTTTGTTTCGTGATAACACTTTGTTTCGTGATAACACTTTGTTTCGTGATAACACTTTGTTTCGTGATAACACTTTGTTTCGTGATAACACTTTGTTTCGTGATAACACTTTGTTTCGTGATAACACTTTGTTTCGTGATAACACTTTGTTTCGTGATAACACTTTGTTTCGTGATAACACTTTGTTTCGTGATAACACTTTGTTTCGTGATAACACTTTGTTTCGTGATAACACTTTGTTTCGTGATAACACTTTGTTTCGTGATAACACTTTGTTTCGTGATAACACTTTGTTTCGTGATAACACTTTGTTTCGTGATAACACTTTGTTTCGTGATAACACTTTGTTTCGTGATAACACTTTGTTTCGTGATAACACTTTGTTTCGTGATAACACTTTGTTTCGTGATAACACTTTGTTTCGTGATAACACTTTGTTTTGTGATAACACTTTGTTTCGTGATAACACTTTGTTTCGTGATAACACTTTGTTTTGTGATAACACTTTGTTTCGTGATAACACTTTGTTTCGTGATAACACTTTGTTTCGTGATAACACTTTGTTTCATGATAACACTTTGTTACGCGACACAAGCTCCAGAAGTTCCCTCCAGAAGGTGATTTACGCCCGGCCAGTAGTGGGCAGAGAAACTTTACAACACGACCCCCAGCCCCGTGCCCAGCCCCCCTCTCTGCAGTATATTCACTTCCTGTGCCAGACCCTCAGAACGCACCAACATCATTCTGCATTTTAACAGCAGCTGCGAAAATGGGAACTGAACCTAGAGCTTCGCGTGGTCTCGTTTGGACGAACGAAGGAGTAGAATTATCCTCTGTGCCGCGCTGGAAGCCCACGAAGCTAGTTAGTGTGACCGCCGCCATTGTTGTTTTTGTTTGTTCTCCACTACTGCACATGTCCAAATGTACGTGCAGGAGCAGCAGGAGGCGGGGGTCAGAGCTGTGCAGCGTTTCTGAGTCGTCCCACTCTGAGGCTGGATCTGAACACTTACGTTTTCACCTGAAACACAGTCTTCGTATGAACGGTTGGTAGAAACCGACATCCAACTATACCGTTTTACTGCCACATTGTCTCCGTGTAAACTCAGCCTAAATATAAATCTTTGATATAAATCAAAACTGCAAGTCAGCATAAACAGCCTTTCTCAGAGTAGGATTTTGTCTTGTAGATTGATCATTAAAATGAAATGAAGAGTCATTTCTAAATGTTATAACATTTATATTATACAAATGTTTGAGTATGAATACAACGTTTGATTGTGCCTTTGTGGTAAAAATGACATGAGGAAATCCCTGTTAGCCTTAGCTATCTGTAAACTCTGGTCAGTTCTTATTTCCCTACATAATGTAATGGTTACGCTATGGTAAGACCATAGACTGTAAATATCAGACCATAGACTGTAAATATCAGACATAGACTGTAAATATCAGACCATAGACTGTAAATATCAGACCATAGACTGTAAATATCAGACCATAGACAGTAAATATCAGACCATAGACTGTAAATATCAGACCATAGACTGTAAATATCAGACCATAGACTGTAAATATCAGACCATAGACTGTAAATATCAGACCATAGACTGTAAATATCAGACCATAGACAGTAAATATCAGACCATAGACTGTAAATATCAGACCATAGACTGTAAATATCAGACCATAGACAGTAAATATCAGACCATAGACTGTAAATATCAGACCACAGACAGTAAATATCAGACCATAGACTGTAAATATCAGACCATAGACTGTAAATATCAGACCATAGACTGTAAATATCAGACCATAGACAGTAAATATCAGACCATAGACTGTAAATATCAGACCATAGACTGTAAATATCAGACCATAGACAGTAAATATCAGACCACAGACTGTAAATATCAGACCATAGACTGTAAATATCAGACCATAGACAGTAAATATCAGACCATAGACTGTAAATATCAGACCACAGACAGTAAATATCAGACCATAGACTGTAATTACGCTACATTGACATGAAAACCATTGATTTGATTAACGTGAAACAAAGATGTAAGAACTACTTTTTTGAGGTTGTTATAAAAAACAAAAGAGCCTCGTGGTCTCACTGGTGTCTGTAACACGTTACATGTGTGAGTGCTGTTGTGTCTGTAACACGTTACATGTGTGAGTGCTGTTGTGTCTGTAACACGTTACATGTGTGAGTGCTGTTGTGTCTGTAACATGTTACATGTGTGAGTGCTGTTGTGTCTGTAACACGTTACATGTGTGAGTGCTGTTGTGTCTGTAACACGTTACATGTGTGAGTGCTGTTGTGTCTGTAACACGTTACATGTGTGAGTGCTGTTGTGTCTGTAACACGTTACATGTGTGAGTGCTGTTGTGTCTGTAACATGTTACATGTGTGAGTGCTGTTGTGTCTGTAACACGTTACATGTGTGAGTGCTGTTGTGTCTGTAACACGTTACATGTGTGAGTGCTGTTGTGTCTGTAACATGTTACATGTGTGAGTGCTGTTGTGTCTGTAACACGTTACATGTGTGAGTGCTGTTGTGTCTGTAACACGTTACATGTGTGAGTGCTGTTGTGTCTGTAACACGTTACATGTGTGAGTGCTGTTGTGTCTGTAACACGTTACATGTGTGAGTGCTGTTGTGTCTGTAACACGTTACATGTGTGAGTGCTGTTGTGTCTGTAACACGTTACATGTGTGAGTGCTGTTGTGTCTGTAACACGTTACATGTGTGAGTGCTGTTGTGTCTGTAACACGTTACATGTGTGAGTGCTGTTGTGTCTGTAACACGTTACATGTGTGAGTGCTGTTGTGTCTGTAACACGTTACATGTGTGAGTGCTGTTGTGTCTGTAACACGTTACATGTGTGAGTGCTGTTGTGTCTGTAACACGTTACATGTGTGAGTGCTGTTGTGTCTGTAACATGTTACATGTGTGAGTGCTGTTGTGTCTGTAACACGTTACATGTGTGAGTGCTGTTGTGTCTGTAACACGTTACATGTGTGAGTGCTGTTGTGTCTGTAACACGTTACATGTGTGAGTGCTGTTGTGTCTGTAACACGTTACATGTGTGAGTGCTGTTGTGTCTGTAACACGTTACATGTGTGAGTGCTGTTGTGTCTGTAACATGTTACATGTGTGAGTGCTGTTGTGTCTGTAACACGTTACATGTGTGAGTGCTGTTGTGTCTGTAACACGTTACATGTGTGAGTGCTGTTGTGTCTGTAACACGTTACATGTGTGAGTGCTGTTGTGTCTGTAACACGTTACATGTGTGAGTGCTGTTGTGTCTGTAACACGTTACATGTGTGAGTGCTGTTGTGTCTGTAACACGTTACATGTGTGAGTGCTGTTGTGTCTGTAACACGTTACATGTGTGAGTGCTGTTGTGTCTGTAACACGTTACATGTGTGAGTGCTGTTGTGTCTGTAACACGTTACATGTGTGAGTGCTGTTGTGTCTGTAACACGTTACATGTGTGAGTGCTGTTGTGTCTGTAACACGTTACATGTGTGAGTGCTGTTGTGTCTGTAGTCAGTCCGTTGTTGTTGTAACGGCGTTTGAACGGCACTTTTCACACTCACAGGCCCTAAACAATAGTTAATAATTATTTTCATATTTATTTCCCTGTATAAGAGGCGTGTTTGTGTATTTGTTCCGATCTGCGTAAAGTCTAAACGCCTCAGGTCCTTTGAGGTCTGTGTTTGTCTCTTTATCCGAGGAAGCTCAAACATGTGGCTAAAGGTGTAAGACGACTTCTTGTAACTGGCTTTGCTCTTCATCCGTTGATACTCTGTTCATAGACGAGGTGACGCTATGACGTCACTTCCGGGTGTGAGGCTGAGACAACGCAAATGTATTAAAAACATTTTTTTTCAAGAAAATAAAGGATAATTTTTGCTGGAATCTATTTCAAATTGGCATTAATCGATTATCTGTCTTGCAGTTTTAATATCCAGAAATTATCCCTGCATAAGGTCTTTAAAACACGCTTGTAAACGAGATGGCGCTGCCATTGTAAACAGTGAAAATGTAGCTTATGATTATTAATAATGACTAATTACTAATATGACACAATGCACCTTCAAAATAACTTAAAACGCACAAACGAGGGCCACAGCAAATATATCCATCGTATTTAATACAAAATGAAGAAATAAGCTTGAGTTTAAGTTTAAGATAATGAACACAGACTTACCAGGTACATTTGGATGACATGAGCTGCCACAAACTTGGCCCCGTACACCAAGCCGTCTGTCCAGCGCACCTGAACCTCGTCTCCCTGAGGCGGGGGTCCGAGTTGTACACAGTCTCGGCTCTGTCAAAACATTGGCGTTATTATGCACAAGCAGTTATTCTAACGTCATGTATAGTCAATAGGAGAGTGATATTAGTTTAACATTTTGTGTAATGAAAGTCCTTCATTACATATGACCTTGGAGCACACCGCTAACTTTCTCAGGCTTCAGGCTAAGGAGTAGAATGTTAGTTAATTACCATTAATCTCAAAGCCCTCGTTTTGAACCAGTGTGCCATGGTAAATTAGTGTGACCAGAAAAAATAATCCAATATCACCAAATTGAGTTCTGGATCTATAGCCTGGCTGTCCAGATTCCTCTCTCAATATGCGCCTCCAAGTTTTTTTTAACTGGTTTTATTTTAGTTGTTTGTTGCTGATGCGGGAGGGTCGAAGGACCAGGATGAACCAGAACATGTACGCTCATTTAATAACATTCTAAATATAGGTCATCCCGCTACCCTCTGGAGCAATGGCTCCAATTATTCTGTAGATGGTTGTTTGAACGGAGAGATAAATGACAACATGGTGTACATACACTAACCGGCCACTTTATTAGCTACAGCAATCAAACTCCACTTTAGTGCAAATTCCTAATCAGCCAATCACATGGCAGCTCCTCAATGCATTTAGGCTGTAGACATGCTGCAGTTCAAATCGAGCATCAGAATGGGGAAGAAAGGAGACTTTTATCGTGGCATGGTTTTTGGTGCCAGACGGGATAGCCTGAGTATTTCAGAAACTTCTGATCTTCTGATCTCTGAGATTTTTACACACAACCATCTCTAAGGTTTACAGAGAAAGGTCAGAAAAAGAGAAAATATCCAGTGAGTGGCAGTTGGAATTGAACCGGGGACCTCTTGCAGTGAACCACCAAAGCAGTGCATACTGTCTTTATCCGCAGATAGCAGGACAGAGAAGATGGAAACAAAACTGGCCCTGTGGAAAACACATTACATCACAGAGGTGGGATATCAGTCGAAATCCTACTAAATACATTTTTAGTTTTTAAAAATGTATCCATCTAGAGGACTGAGTGCAAAAAGTTTTTCTTGATTTTGGGAAATGTTGAAAAAAGGTGTATGAACACTTTTACATACATTAGCTGTTGCTGATGGTACAAGACTGATTCTTATATCCACAGTTACTAATCCCTTTGATTCACTTACATCACATTTAGTGTGTAGAAGATTTAATAAATACATATATAAACTATTACTAGATAAAAATGAATCACAGGACATGCAGATCTACTCTAGAGACTGCAGCATTGGAAGCATTGTCCATAAAACGATAAGGCTAACAATATAATTATTTCACTTAAAGAAAAAAATAAAATAAGAGGAAATGTTGATGAAATATTAAGACATCACAATGTGCCTGACAATGTCTATTCCTACATTAAAACTATTGAAAGCATTTTTGTTTGTTCAAATACTTTTGGTAACGCAAACAGTGAGAGGCACACTTAGAAACTGTTTTTCCTTCACACAAACCTCATATTCATGTTTAGAAATGTCCCAATATCATGAAGTTGAGTAAATGTATGTATTTTATATGTGCATACCACAATATCTTCTGGGAAAAGATTGTCACTGAAGGAGCCATCATCAAAGTTGACCTCATAGAAGGTTTCTGTGGAGAGTTGCACCACGTCACACTGGTAATAACGGCCGTTCTTGTGCTTGCAGATCACCCTTTGTCCCACTGTCAGCTCACGCATGGCTGCTTTGTTGCGCTGTAAGAATACATGAGAAATATTGTTGCTTTAAACATGAACATGTGCATTTATGTTACCCAAACCTGATCATTTTCATGGATCTTTACAGTTGTATCTATTTACCTTTTTTAAGCATTGGAAAAAAGTGCATTTATGATGCATCATTTACATTTGTATTACACTGAGCCTCTTAACGGGCAGTGTTAAAACGACAGGTGGAACTTTGCTGTAGGTTACACAGAACAGCAGGAAACAATGCAACGCAGGCGTTTGGTTTGGGAGTTTCTGACCCAATTCTGGGAATTCAAATGTGGGGAAGTCCAACTACGATGTTCAAAAGATCTAACCAAATTTACCAGGGAGGTACAGGCATAATGTTCTCTTTGGTTGTGAGGCAGGACCTGTGCAGTGTCTTCATTTTGTATAATTTGTAACATCTGCAGGTTAGCTGCTGGCAGATCAGATTCTTCTGGATCTCTGATTCATTTCCTTTTGATAAACTGTTATTTGCATTGATTGTGTCACTTGACCAAAAAGTAAAGAGAGAATCCGATCACTTCTCAAAATAAAGCATCATTCAGACTTGTAAAAGTAGCATGAGTAAAAGTTAATTATTCTTTCCTTGCGGGACAGGGGCTGGGGACCACTGAGCTAACACAGATTGCATGGTGGAAAGCAAGAAAAAAAGAGCGATATCTATCCCAGCATTGCAAAACTGAGAACATTGGAACTCACACTGGTACAAGCAACATAATCTTATTGTATTTGTACATTATTTTTCATTCCAACTGACAATTCTCTCTACATAAACAAAACATTTTTGTTTGTCCCATTGGAAAATGTTGTTTTAAGACAATCAACATGTACAAAACAAAACAACAAAAACAACAAAAAAGGATCTCGAGTATCCAAAAACTGTATTTTGGGGGAAGTGTTTTGTTAAGGCAGGCAGATACTAGTGCGTTGCTGCGCTTGCAGTGGCCCTTGTGACGTCCCCTGATGTCACATGACCAACGCAAAGATCACAAGACCCTCAGATTTGTCTAACTACGCAGCGCAGAGAAGGTCTGTTGTGATTGGCCCGTATGTGATTACGTTTTGGATGGAAGCATGGAACAGCTGGGGTAGAATATGGATGAGGCACTTCGGTGCAGATTGGACTCATAGCTCACGAGCCTGAGGAGGCTGTGGACTAGAGCTCTGGTTTTATATCACACCAAAATGTATACTGTACAGTAGTTTATTTTGCACTGTTCCCGTTTGTTTGAATCTGCACTTGTACCTAGTAATCGCGTCTGCACCTTTTTGCATTCATCCTACACTTGCAAATCATGTTTGGTCCCAGATAAATATCCCTTTAGCTTGTTTCTGTACGAATACACTTTAATAATAACTATGTTTCCAACAATTATTCACAGTATCACAGTTGAAATGAGTTATGAAACAATGAGTCTATAGTACTGTCACATAAACTTATGCCTAGAATACAGATTTAATGAATTAATCAATCTTAAACTTAGTTTTTGTATTGAAGAGGAGAAAGTAGCAGCTGGACTTTATAATGGGACCCCTTTGGCGTCCCAGGATATCCCGGCTCGATTGCCATCATGTGGTTGGGGAGTGGGATTCCAACATTCTCTTCAAAACTACGCACAAAGGGTAGAGTACACAAACAACTGTGGCTGCGTAATCAACCATGGGTTACATAGACGCCTGAATATACACAGGCCTTTTATTATAGCTTATTCTATTCTCTTCTTTTGACTTGTTTGCACCGAGAGCCAAAGCAAATTCCTAGTCTGTGACTTCCTGTTACTTACATGGCAATAAAAAATATTCTGATCTTGATTTAGCATGTTTCCTACAGATGTACATACCTCAATCTGCGTGGGACCTTTGTGTCGGCAGCAGGTGACATGGACGACAAAGGGCCAGTGGTCGGGCTGTAGGAGGACTCCCGCTGCCTGGGCACAGGTGGGGTGGTATGCTGTGGGACAGCGGCCATGAGAGCACTGTACGCAGCAGCCCCAGGCCTTCTTCATGCGCTTCTTACAGTAGTAACATTTCTGGTAAAGTAGTAGATTTTAGTAGACATTAGTTTGACGAAGCACGATGTCAATACTCTGTCCATTTGACACCAGTCAAAGGAACATGTATCTAACAAGACAAGCTATGATCTATGACAGCCATTCCCAAACTCAGTAACACCGAGGCCCCCTTAAAAATCTGACGGGTCTGCGTGGCCCCCCAAAATAATAACCAAGAAGACAACATTAAGAATAGGCTCTTCTGGTTATTTTATTTTGGGGAAATAGCCTCTGCTACAAACATTGTAATACAAAAATGATTACAGTGGCTTATTCAAGTCAAATAATGAACACAAATATTTTAATATTACAAACAAAACATTATAAATTTAACATTAAATAATTATATTATTATTATTATTTTTTTATGACCTCCCGCGGCCCCCCTGCAGTACCCACGCGGCCCACCAGGGGGCCGCGGACCCCACTTTGGGAGACACTGATCTATGATTTAGGCCACGCTCACAATGAGGTGGGAAAATCAGATGCACATGAACACTTGCTCAAGTGGGAAAGCACTTGGAAAATTGGGTCAAAAGAGCTCTCCTCTCAGCAGTGGGTGAGGATTTGGCCATCTACAACTTCAACAAAGAATGTATTTTGGCTTTTTCACTGAAAGAACACAAAGTAAAAAAACAACTATAAAGCATGGTTGTGAAATAAAACTGAAAAGAGTGGCTGATCATACAGTCAGACATCGCACATTTTTCTGAGTGCATTGCATCCTCCATGATGCTGATGCAAACATCTTTACATCCATCCATTTCTTCCGCTTCATCCGTTGCCGGGTCGCGGGGGCAGCAGTCTAAGCAGAGACGCCCAGACTTCCCTATCCACACACACTTCCTCCGGCTCATCTGGAGGGACCCCAAGGCGTTCCCAGATTTCCACTATTGGCTGCAAACCGTCCCAGTGCTGGTTCGTTGGAGCCTAAAGGACAACATCGTTCGCGAACAGCAAAGATGAAATCCTGTGGTCCCCGAACCGGACCCCCTCTGGCCCCTGGCTGCGCCTGGAAATTCTGTCCATAAAGGGCAGCCATGGTGGAGGCCAACATCCACCGGGAACAGGTCTGACTTACTGCTGATGCGAACACAGCTCTGGCTCTGGTCATACAGGGACCGGATGGCCCTCAGCAGAGGACCCCGGACCCCGTACTCCCAGAGAACCCCCCAAAGGACACCCCGGGGAACACGGTCGAACGCCTTCTCCAAATCCACAAAGCACATGTGGACAGGTTGGGCGAACTCCCATGAACCCTCGAGTATCCGATGGAGAGTATAGAGCTGGTCCAGTGTTCCACGACCGGGGCGAAAACCACACTGCTCCTCCTGGATCCGAGATTTGACATTTTGACTGCAAATGGCAAATAAACTGAATCTGAATCCGGAGAATCCTCTCCAGTACCTTGGAGTAGACCTTACCAGGGAGGCTGAGGAGTGTGATCCCACGATAATTGGAACAGGGCTAAGGCCCGGCCCGCTCGCTTTCGAGCCCCAACCCCAGGCCTGGCTCCAGGGTGGAGCCCCGGCTGCGCCATGCCAGGCAACGTCACTGATCTTTTATTAGTGCGATCCATGGTGGGCTTTTAACTGCGCTTGTCTGGCCCACTTGTGTGTAAAACATCTGTGAGGGCCTCAGATGGTCACTATACAACATCATGAAGTCCAAGGAACATACCAGAGTGGTCAGGGAGAAGTTAAAAGCAGTGTTAAAGGTACAATCAGAAGTTCACAAATGTGAACTTTCTAAGAATATTCACCTCCACCAAAATCTTAAATTGTTGTTATAGGCCTAGAATTTTACCTATAAATATGCAGGAGCACTGGAAGACGCTTAGTGTCAATGCGCAATCTTGAAATACATTCGTTAATAAGTGACAAAAAGGATAATCGCATTTTTGTTTCACATGTGCAACTAATATCATTGCTTCCACTGTGCGGACCAGTTATGTAAAATAACTACCCGAACAAGAATCTTAAAAAAAAAAGTATTATGTAAAAATCTAGAAACCGGCGTCATAACGAGTCAACATCGCAAACCAAACGCACCCCTGAAAGACAGAGATATTGCAATAAGAGGCACATTGCTGTAGTTTGTACACAACAGTATGTGCACACGCGCACAATAAGTTTCACATCGACAGCAATGAGAACGAGGTAGAATCTGTGCAAAAACACCCTACAAAAAAATTTCTAGCCACTGTTAAACTACTAAGATGCAGCTGCCGGCCCAAATTCACACTCAAACATGGACAACACTGATCACAGAGGCAGACAACAGGCCAATGGTCTCTCTGGAGGAGCTGCAGACACCTGGGGAATGGGTACACAGGGGAAAATAATCATACACTACACAACTATGGCTTTTATGGAGCAGGCTTTTAAAAAGCAATTTCTAAATTTCTATTTCTTGATAGGCCAAAGCCTATCAAGGCCTGTATGAAGTCGTTTACTTTTGAATGTGCTGGAAATGGCAGCAAGTCCTAAGATGAGGGAGGCCTTTCATCATAGGTACACCTCTGATGGTGCAAAAGTGTCCTCAATAAAGTAACAACGCAGGAAACACATTTAACATGTAGAAGATGGTACAGTGTTAGGAGCTCAGATGAGACGAGTTCTAAAATAGTTGCCGTTTTGTGACTTACATTAGTTATTTTAATTTAGCTTTTATCATCTTCAAATTATGCGCCAGTACAATGTTAAGAGTGTTCAGGGTTTAACACTAACCCTAACCCAACCAAGAAAACCGTGCATAAATCCACCGGATTCACAATGTCCTGACCAAACAAACATTATATACAACCATAAGAGAAAAGGCTTTGGAGGAAACATTTCATCACAACAGGCACTGTTACTCTGAAGGATATCCACCCTGCCACTGCTCTTCCAGCACCTGGTCAAGGGAACCAGCACTTTGATTGATCCTTCAAGAGCACCACCTCCACCTGGTAGGCCCCATTTGAGGACACCATGCTGCCAAGCGGGAGACCATCCTGCCTGGAGACATCCAGCTAACCTAACGAATAACGCAGCAGAAGCTATCTTTACTCATGCCTAAAGCCTGGTTCACACGGCAGGATATTTAGGCCGATTTAGACCCGATTTACCCCTTACGACAATCTTAAGAAACGCTCCGATTTCCGTAACAAAATCTTACAGATTATCCTGCCGTGTGTGGTGTGTTAAGACTGCACTCGTCGCTCGGAAGGACATCGGGACTGCTCCCGATCTCAAATCGGGGATATCCAACATGTTGGATTGTTTTGGCCCGATTTCTTGTCGTGTGTGGTGTCCTCCGAGGACAAGCGAGCGCGTTGCCATGACTACGGCGTGTAGCCAATAAGAAGACGAGGTGACAAGCCGGTGAGGAAACACCGGAAAAAAACCAAAACACAGCAGCATGGCTTTGACCATTGCCTTTTCTTTGGATTACGTGTCTTCTCTGTTAACAACAAACTGCACACTATCGCCACTGCATCCTCTTCGTCCGCCATGACTGTTTACTCTGAAGTCACGCTTGATCTCGAGAGATTTTGTGAGATTTCCGTCTGACCTGGGAATGCTCGGGGGGGGGTGTCGGTTCGTGTGTGATGTTTGTGGCTTGCGTGATCTTGCCGTGTGGCTACGCACCACACACTGCACGACCAAAGTGGTTAGACGCAGGATTTTTAATCTCCCCGTGTGGGGTCTTACACGGAGAAAAATCGTCCGACAATTTTAAAATCGTCTCGTGTGAACCAGGCTTAAGTTGCACAAATGATAGTAATCCTTTGGCCCCCTTTGTGCAAAGATAAAACATCTTCTTCGCTTCTTCCCCTCTCAGAAAATTTCTGTTGCTCAATATACATTGTGACAAATGAATGAAACGTATATGCAAATTTGTCTGTTACAACAGTGTTAAAAGCAGTTACGGTTGGCGCATACATGCACACACGAATATTATACATAATTTTGGAAAAGCAGATGCTTATTTGGCTCAAAACCCCGATAGAAAACAACACATAACAAAATGTGCAAAAGTTCAAACTGTATGAATACATTGGCAACCCATGTCTGGATTAAAGCATCCAAACAACAAAAGATTCATTATTGAAGATTTTACAATAATTCATTTAACTTACCAGTTTAAATCTTTGCAAGGGGATTCCACTTAAGTCCACAGGACTTCGTTCTGTGATGTTTACAAAGCGAGCTTCTAAGACGGCAACAGCACAGAGCACATGGACCCACCTGCAGGTCATAGAGAGGTCAGGTACAGGAGGTCAGGTACAGGAGGTCAGGTACAGGAGCTCAGGTACAGGAGGTCAGGTACAGGAGGTCAGGTACAGGAGCTCAGGTACAGGAGGTCAGGTACAGGAGGTCAGGTACAGGAGGTCAGGTACAGGAGCTCAGGTACAGGAGGTCAGGTACAGGAGCTCAGGTACAGGAGGTCAGGTACAGGAGCTCAGGTACAGGAGCTCAGGTACAGGAGCTCAGGTACAGGAGCTCAGGTACAGGAGCTCAGGTACAGGAGGTCAGGTACAGGAGCTCAGGTACAGGAGGTCAGGTACAGGAGGTCAGGTACAGGAGGTCAGGTACAGGAGGTCAGGTACAGGAGGTCAGGTACAGGAGCTCAGGTAGAGGAGGTCAGGTACAGGAGGTCAGGTACAGGAGGTCAGGTACAGGAGCTCAGGTACAGGAGGTCAGGTACAGGAGCTCAGGTACAGGAGGTCAGGTACAGGAGCTCAGGTACAGGAGCTCAGGTACAGGAGCTCAGATACAGGAGCTCAGGTACAGGAGCTCAGGTACAGGAGCTCAGGTACAGGAGGTCAGGTACAGGAGGTCAGGTACAGGAGGTCAGGTACAGGAGGTCAGGTACAGGAGCTCAGGTACAGGAGGTCAGGTACAGGAGGTCAGGTACAGGAGCTCAGGTACAGGAGGTCAGGTACAGGAGGTCAGGTACAGGAGGTCAGGTACAGGAGGTCAGGTACAGGAGCTCAGGTACAGGAGCTCAGGTACAGGAGCTCAGGTACAGGAGCTCAGGTACAGGAGGTCAGGTACAGGAGCTCAGGTACAGGAGGTCAGGTACAGGAGGTCAGGTACAGGAGGTCAGGTACAGGAGCTCAGGTACAGGAGCTCAGGTACAGGAGGTCAGGTACAGGAGCTCAGGTACAGGAGCTCAGGTACAGGAGGTCAGGTACAGGAGGTCAGGTACAGGAGGTCAGGTACAGGAGGTCAGGTACAGGAGGTCAGGTACAGGAGGTCAGGTACAGGAGGTCAGGTACAGGAGCTCAGGTACAGGAGCTCAGGTACAGGAGGTCAGGTACAGGAGGTCAGGTACAGGAGCTCAGGTACAGGAGGTCAGGTACAGGAGCTCAGGTACAGGAGCTCAGGTACAGGAGCTCAGGTACAGGAGGTCAGGTACAGGAGGTCAGGTACAGGAGCTCAGGTACAGGAGCTCAGGTACAGGAGGTCAGGTACAGGAGCTCAGGTACAGGAGCTCAGGTACAGGAGCTCAGGTACAGGAGTCAGGTACAGGAGCTCAGGTACAGGAGCTCAGGTACAGGAGGTCAGGTACAGGAGGTCAGGTACAGGAGGTCAGGTACAGGAGCTCAGGTACAGGAGTCAGGTACAGGAGCTCAGTACAGGAGCTCAGGTACAGGAGCTCAGGTACAGGAGGTCAGGTACAGGAGGTCAGGCACAGGAGCTCAGGTACAGGAGCTCAGGTACAGGAGCTCAGGTACAGGAGCTCAGGTACAGGAGCTCAGGTACAGGAGGTCAGGTACAGGAGGTCAGGTACAGGAGCTCAGGTACAGGAGGTCAGGTACAGGAGGTCAGGTACAGGAGGTCAGGTACAGGAGGTCAGGTACAGGAGCTCAGGTACAGGAGCTCAGGTACAGGAGGTCAGGTACAGGAGCTCAGGTACAGGAGGTCAGGTACAGGAGGTCAGGTACAGGAGGTCAGGTACAGGAGGTCAGGTACAGGAGGTCAGGTACAGGAGCTCAGGTACAGGAGCTCAGGTACAGGAGGTCAGGTACAGGAGCTCAGGTACAGGAGGTCAGGTACAGGAGCTCAGGTACAGGAGCTCAGGTACAGGAGGTCAGGTACAGGAGGTCAGGTACAGGAGGTCAGGTACAGGAGGTCAGGTACAGGAGCTCAGGTACAGGAGGTCAGGTACAGGAGGTCAGGTACAGGAGGTCAGGTACAGGAGGTCAGGTACAGGAGGTCAGGTACAGGAGGTCAGGTACAGGAGGTCAGGTACAGACTGAACACCCAATTAATCCGTCAAACGAAAAAAACATTGTTTCACTATTTGCAGGATAGAGAGGCGAAACCAGGTACACGCATGCTCACACAGACCTAGCCCCGGTGATCCAAGATGGCAGCCTATTCATATCATAATACAAATATATAAATCATTTTGGGGAGCTACCTGAAAGAAGCTGGCGAGCTACTGGTATCTCCCGAGCCACAGGTTGGAGACCCCTGGTGTAAAGGAAAGAATGGATGGGGCCATGTATTGTGAGGTTTTGAAAACCTCCTTCCATCAGCAAGGGCATTGAAGATGAAATGTGGCTGGGTCTTTCAGCACGACAGTGATCCCAAACACACTACCTGGCCAACAAAGAATTTCAAGAACCTGGAGTGGCCTAGCCAGTCTCCAGATCTCAACCCCATAGAAATTCTTTGGTGGGAGTTGAAGGTTTCCCAGCGACAGCCCCCAAACATCACTGCTCTAGAGGAGATTTGCATGGAGGAATGGGCCAAAATACCAGCAGGTGTGTGAAAAACGTTTGAGCTCTGTCATTGTCAACAAAGGGTATATAAGTATATAAGTATTGAGATTAACTTTTGTTAGTTATCGACAATGTGATTTTCTGGATTTTTTCTCATTCTCTTGCTCATAGTTTAGGTATAAGTATGATAATAATATAATAATTACAGGCCTCCCTCATCTTTTCAACCCATTAAGGCCTGACACAGCTGATAAAACAGACCTGTAAAAACCATGGCCGACTTCAGAACCACCTCCAAAACCTGAAGTTTTCCTGAAATTCAACGTCTACAGAATGATTGATGTCTCAGCCTCTGTAGCACAGAGAAATATCATTTCAAAAGAATTTGAGAGCTGACATTTTACGTTACGGCTGCGCGTCTATGGTCCGCGGTACATGACCACGTTACGGCTGAGCGTCTGTGGTCCGCGGTACATGACCACGTTACGGCTGAGCGTCTATGGTCCGCGGTACATGACCATGTTACGGCTGAGCGTCTATGGTCCGCGGTACATGACCACGTTACGGCTGAGCGTCTGTGGTCCGCGGTACATGACCACGTTACGGCTGAGCGTCTATGGTCCGCGGTACATGACCATGTTACGGCTGAGCGTCTATGGTCCGCGGTACATGACCACGTTACGGCTGAGTGTCTATGGTCCGCGGTACATGACCACGTTACGGCTGAGCGTCTATGGTCCGCGGTACATGACCACGTTACGGCTGAGTGTCTATGGTCCGCGGTACATGACCATGTTACGGCTGAGCGTCTATGGTCCGCGGTACATGACCACGTTACGGCTGAGCGTCTGTGGTCCGCGGTACATGACCACGTTACGGCTGAGCGTCTATGGTCCGCGGTACATGACCATGTTACGGCTGAGCGTCTATGGTCCGCGGTACATGACCACGTTACGGCTGAGTGTCTATGGTCCGCGGTACATGACCACGTTACGGCTGAGCGTCTATGGTCCGCGGTACATGACCACGTTACGGCTGAGCGTCTATGGTCCGCGGTACATGACCATGTTACGGCTGAGCGTCTATGGTCCGCGGTACATGACCACGTTACGGCTGAGTGTCTATGGTCCGCGGTACATGACCACGTTACGGCTGAGCGTCTATGGTCCGCGGTACATGACCATGTTACGGCTGAGCGTCTATGGTCCGCGGTACATGACCACGTTACGGCTGAGCGTCTATGGTCCGCGGTACATGACCACGTTACGGCTGAGAGTCTGTGGTCCGCGGTACATGACCATGTTACGGCTGAGCGTCTATGGTCCGCGGTACATGACCACGTTACGGCTGAGCGTCTATGGTCCGCGGTACATGACCATGTTACAGCTGTGTGTCTATGGTCCGCGGTACATGACCATGTTACGGCTGAGTGTCTATGGTCCGCAGTACATGACCACGTTACGGCTGAGTGTCTATGGTCCGCGGTACATGACCATGTTACAGCTGTGTGTCTATGGTCCGCGGTACATGACCACGTTACGGCTGAGCGTCTGTGGTCTGCGGTACATGACCATGTTACGGCTGAGCGTCTATGGTCCGCGGTACATGACCATGTTACGGCTGAGTGTCTATGGTCCGCGGTACATGACCATGTTACGGCTGAGCGTCTATGGTCCGTGGTACATGACCACGTTACGGCTGAGTGTCTATGGTCCGCGGTACATGACCACGTTACGGCTGAGTGTCTATGGTCCGCGGTACATGACCAAGTTACGGCTGAGCGTCTATGGTCCGCGGTACATGACCACGTTACGGCTGAGTGTCTATGGTCCGCGGTACATGACCATGTTACGGCTGAGTGTCTATGGTCCGTGGTACATGACCACGTTACGGCTGAGTGTCTATGGTCCGCGGTACATGACCATGTTACGGCTGTGTGTCTGTGGTCCGCGGTACATGACCACGTTACGGCTGAGCGTCTGTGGTCCGCGGTACATGACCATGTTACGGCTGAGCGTCTATGGTCCGCGGTACATGACCATGTTACGGCTGAGTGTCTATGGTCCGCGGTACATGACCATGTTACGGCTGAGTGTCTATGGTCCGCGGTACATGACCATGTTATGGCTGAGCGTCTATGGTCCGCGGTACATGACCACGTTACGGCTGAGTGTCTATGGTCCGTGGTACATGACCACGTTACGGCTGAGTGTCTATGGTCCGCGGTACATGACCATGTTACGGCTGAGTGTCTATGGTCCGCGGTACATGACCACGTTACGGCTGAGCGTCTATGGTCCGCGGTACATGACCACGTTACGGCTGAGTGTCTATGGTCCGCGGTACATGACCACGTTACGGCTGAGCGTCTATGGTCCGCGGTACATGACCATGTTACGGCTGAGCGTCTATGGTCCGCGGTACATGACCACGTTACGGCTGAGTGTCTATGGTCCGCGGTACATGACCACGTTACGGCTGAGCGTCTGTGGTCTGCGGTACATGACCATGTTACGGCTGAGCGTCTATGGTCCGCGGTACATGACCACGTTACGGCTGAGTGTCTATGGTCCGCGGTACATGACCACGTTACGGCTGAGCGTCTGTGGTCTGCGGTACATGACCACGTTACGGCTGAGCGTCTATGGTCCGCGGTACATGACCACGTTACGGCTGAGCGTCTATGGTCCGCGGTACATGACCATGTTACGGCTGAGTGTCTATGGTCCGCGGTACATGACCATGTTACGGCTGAGTGTCTATGGTCCGCAGTACATGACCACGTTACGGCTGAGCGTCTATGGTCCGCGGTACATGACCACGTTACGGCTGAGTGTCTATGGTCCGCGGTACATGACCACGTTACGGCTGAGCGTCTATGGTCCGCGGTACATGACCACGTTACGGCTGAGCGTCTGTGGTCCGCGGTACATGACCATGTTACGGCTGAGCGTCTATGGTCCGCAGTACATGACCACATTCAAGTACGTAACGCAAACAGCCCGCGGTCACACATTTCAAAGAAATTATATATTCAGCGAGAAAAAGTCAGAATTTGCGGATCCGCAGATAATTCTCATCACAGGTATATCTGCATTTCATTGGTCCAGAGAATTGATCAATGAAGAGAATAGGTCAAAAAAAGAAAAAAAAAAGTGTCTGCTTTCCCGGCCTTCAGGGTAGAAGTGCAACAGCGCTCCCGGCTTGAAAGGCAGACACGCAGGAATGCGTTCCCGGCCTCAATGAGTTAAATGGGAGGACTTGCACAATTTGTGAATGACTAAATATTTTTTTTACACTGTATCTTTGTTTTGTGCTTTACAATTGTTATTTTTCTTGCTTTTCTCTAGCTGTAAAGTTTTATGCCGTGCAGTGTTCATGATTATACAACATCCAGATGAGAGCAGAGAGAATCCACAGTCAAAACCGATCGACCAAAAATCCAGTCCATAATCCATACTTTTAGAATTATTTATTTATTTGTACGGATGGAAGCGTTTCTGCTGCTGGATACCTGAATATTTCCTATGGGGAATCACTAAAGTATCCGTCCACTGATACACACATAATAACTGACAGCAATGATGTAAATACAACAGTTTCAGCCCTAGGTCATACAAAAGCCTTACTTGTTGTTGTTTGCTTTCTGCAGGGCTCCTCCCCTCAATGAGCACAGGCAACAGTTCTAACAGGGAACAAGAAACAGTTATTAGTGTTTAAGGCCTCACGCAAGATACTCACAGCTGATTTCCACAGTAGGCGTACGCGTTGACTGTGCGCATATGTGCGTAACATTACTCGGTTGTATGTCCGCTGGCAGTACGCACAGGTCTGCGGCTTTTGGAGCTGTCCATGTGTAGTCTATGGAGCAGTGCAGAGGACAGTACAGAGGACTGATGTAGAGCAACACAAATCACATGCATGTGTTTGTCTTCTTGGTCTCTGTGCGCTGGTTTGGCCAGACGCCAGACTTTATGAATGAAAAATAAAACGATGTCCAGAATCACTGTAAAACCTGCTGCTCCTGTGTGCGTGTGTGTGGATGCGATCTAGAGCCAAGGATCGCTAGAATCATGTCTCCTATGTGTTTTGACTGGGAGACGCGTTGCTGCGCGCACAATATTAGAAATCCATCCTAAATTAGGCGCAGCCCCGCGTCATACGTCCGTCATACACGCGTATAACACTAGTAGTGTAAATATCCCCATTGGTTTACATGTAAACATTTTACAGCCGTCTGTTGCGCGTATAACGCGTACGTGCTGTAAGGCCTCCTGTGTACATTAGCAGTCACACTCAAAACCCAAATGTAAATAGAGGTTCATTTGTAAGTACATATTGATATTGTAGATGTACAACACATGGTGAAACTAGGGCAACTATTGGAGGCACCAGCCCAGTGCTCGCCGAGAGCACACGGCGTCAGGATGGCTCTGCCTAACGTGCGCTCCATTACAAATAAGGCTTTTATTTTGAGTGACTTGTACACTAAAGAGAAGTGGGATTTCATGTTCCTCACGGAGACTTGGCAACGCAAAAATTAGATTTTTCATCTTAAGGAGCTTTGCCCCTTGGACTGTTTAGTCTTTGCGACTCCTCGTACGGGACGGCGTGGAGGACTAGCACTAGTTACATGGGACTCTTTCTGCTGCAGCCAAATGGACGCGCTCTCATTCAACTCTTTTGAGCTACAGATGTGTAATTGGAAAATAACACTTTTATTACTGAATTTTGGTTTATCGTCCTCCTGGCCCCGTACGCACCTTTCTTCAGGATTTTGCTGATTTTCTGTCTTCCATCATTAAATTAGAAAATGTTCGGATCCTCGGGGACTTCAATTTACATACTGACGACGCATCATGCTCTGATGCAACAGAATTATCAACTATTATGGACTCTAAACTTTGTCCAGCATGTTTCTGGTCCCACGCATAACAAAGGTCATACTTTGGACTCTCATGTGGACTGGTCATTGATAAAGTGAAAATTGAGGACATACAAATAAGTGACCATTAGTATATCTTTTAATGTGTCGTCAAGGGTGGAGCCGGCCGTTCGCAATACTGCGATCACAAAACGCTTTATCAATGAAGCTGCATGTGATAGGTTTGTTGATTCTCTTGACCTAAGCCCTTTTGTTGACTGTAATGATGTGGAAACATTTTTAACAAGCCTTAATAGTCACTGCCTGCCTGTGTTGGATACTGTGGCACCTGTTAAACAGGTGTCTGGTTCACAGAATAAACCTGCTCCTGATAAATGTTGATATCTTAATCTTTAGGAGGGAGTGTCGGAAAGTGGAACGCTTGTTTAAATCCACAAAATTAGAAGTGCACAGACTTCACCTTAAAGAGATGATGCTGGAGCTAAATGGGAAGATAAAGCTTGCTCAGCTTATTTCTCAAATCTCATTTCTTGTAATAAGAGAAACCCAAAAGTTCTCTTTGACTCCATTGAACGTCTTGTGACACCCGCGGCTCCTCTTGTGTCTGTGCACTCACAAGAGGACTGTAATTAGTTCCTAAACGTTTTTGTGAACAAAGTAGAAGACATCAGAGCGTCTGAGGTTGCTCAGGTGTGCTCCTGGTCAGCCTTTACTCCAGTCAGCCTACAGGAGGTGGCTGAACTATCATCAAGTCCTGCTGATATTATTCCTACATCCCTGCTTTTAAAAAAGCTTTAACAAGTCTTCGGCAGCTGTTTGGTGAAACTGTTTAATTTATCCTTAGAGTCTGGCAGTGTCCCCAGCTATTTTAAACATGCTGTTGTAAGCCCCAGTCTGAAAAAGCCCAATCTTGACCCCTCAGAGCCAAACATTTACAGACCTTATCGAAACGCCTGTTTGTTGCTAGCCTGGCCTTATCCATCCGTACACTTCGCTCAATCATCATTTCACTGCATGTAACCGTCTGGGTCTGGTCCCTGTGTTAGCGATTACAATCGGTCGTATTTCAACCGGCTACTCAGAGAGCGCGGGAGGCGGGTGTTGTAGATCGGTGCCGGTGACGTCAAGAGTTTGCGTCGAACGAGCAGGTTGTAGTTTGGCAATGCCGAAAAATGCGATAGTAAAGTAATCCGGTCTGGTTCTATCAAGAAATTGAAGCAGGAGCAAGAGGAATGTTTGGCAAATGTACTGGTCAAGATTGTGGCGCTACTCCCCACGGGCTCCGTTAGCGACAAAGGAGATGGCTAAAGCTAGGCTAAATGCTAACAACACACTCGGGCGCATTACATACGTGACAGTAAACTCAGATCCAATCGTTTCAATCTGCAAAAGGAGTTAACCCCACCCACCTGTTCACGGAGCTCAAGGGAGCAAATCCAGACCTTAGTATGAAATGTAATTTGTACTATGGTGTGGTACAACCAGGCTAGTTTGGTGCTAAAATTTTGGAAAAAGTTGTTGCAAGCCCAATAACTACATTCATGGAGCAGACATAACATTACTGCCAGGACGGAAGATGGCGGCGAGACTGTAAGCACTGTGGCGGAGCAGCTCCCGACTTTGAGAAAAAAAAGCATCTTTCATTTTAACTAAAAGGCACGCATTTATGATGAGTAACCACTCGACCAAGCGCAAAAGTGACAACAAACTTCCAGTGACACCGTCTAAATCTCCCGACGACAAAAAAGGTAAAATGGAGCAAGAAACTGCGGACAGTATAGTGGCGGCGCTAAAGCTAGCTATTGAAGAGCAAGGATCCACCATCGGCAAATCCATTAATGAGTTGAAACATTCTGTTAATTTCTTCTCTGCAGAGGTACAAGACATAAAGGGAACAGTAAAGAAAACAGAGCAGAGAGTGGACAAAGCTGAAGAAATTATCCAACAGCTTGAAAGCAAAGTGGTTGAACTGGAGCGGTACAAGCGTAGATGGAACCTACGCTTGCACGGGCTGCCAGAAAGAGAGGGAGAAGAAGTAAGGCGCGTTGTGATTGAGACTTGTAAAATCGTAGCCCCAGGATAAAAGGACAAATTTGAGGATGTGATAGACTCGTTGCACAGGCTTGGAAGACTTAGTTCAACCAGGACCCAACCAAGAGATATTATCATCCAGTTCTCTATGAGGCATTACCGCGACGCCATTTGGAAGCTGTCGAAGAACCATGAGTACCTGAAACAACAACTTCTGCGCTTCAAGGAGGACCTGACACCGGAGGACCGCGAAAAACGAAACCGTCTGTGGCCCTTCATCCAAAAGGCTCGGGAGGAAAAGATTGCCTACTTTATCGGGGGAGGAGCCTTCATTGACAACAAAGAATTCTTCTAACGTTAAGATGCTGATCTTCAATTTAAAAGGGAATAAGCTCTGCCTTCTCATGTTTTTTCATTCTTATATAAAGAAGAAATTGTTCTGACTGTTTCGTTTTCTTCTGTTATTTAAAAATGTATTTGAAGTTTTTCTCTGTTAATGCTCGAGGCTTAAGGGACATTTCAAAACGTAAGGCAATTTTCCTTTATGCTAAAAGCTTTGACGCAGACTTTTGTTTAATCCAAGAATCCCACTCATCTGATGAAGATTATAACTTTTGGAAGTCGCAATGGGGGGGAGGACATTTGGATGGGAATCACCACTCAGCAGCAGTATTCTTTACTGGTATTTACACATAATAATCAGATATTTATATTAAGGAATGTGTATGGTTATACTAATATAAGAGAAAACAAAGAACTATTGCAGAATTTAAATGATAAAATAGAAAGTATTATTGAAGTTTCCAGATGTAAAGATAATTCTAGGGGGAGATTTCAACTGTACTTTTAATGATGAAATTGACAGGTATCCTAACAGACAAAAGGTTAATGATTATCTGAATGATTTTATGAATGTAAGATATATGGAGAATGAACAATCCAAATAGCAGAGAATTTACTTGGAAGAATAGAGGTGGTTCGCTACAATCCAGAATAGATTTCTGGTTAGTATCAGAGTGCTTATCTCAATTAAAATGTGAAAGTGAAATCAATCCAACTCCTCTAACGGACCATAAAGCGATCCTACTCACCTTACAGCCTATTGGAGGCTTAACAATTCTCTCTTACTTAATGATGAACTTTGTGAATTGGTAAACATTAAAATATGTCAATACTCTAAAATGGCTGAGAATACAGGTGAATTTCAAAAATATTGGAAGCTTCTCAAATTTGAACTGAGGACGTTATTTATGAAAACTGGAGCAAAACTTAAAAAAGAGACAAAAAAAGAAGAAAATGATCTAATCAATAAACTAGTCTTATCTTCTGTCTTACCACAACATTTGTCTGATTCTCAACAAGCTCAGTTATCAACACTTCAGCTAAATTTAGATAAACTTTACATCAATAAAGCTAAGGGAGCATTTATTCGAGCTAAAGCAAAATGGTTAGAAGAAGGTGAACAACATTCTAGTTACTTTTTCAAGTTTGAAAAACAAAGGCAAACAAAAAATAACAAACTTTCTATTAATGGTGTGGTCACAGAAGATCCCAAAATAATTTCTAAATTGTGTGAAAACTTTTACAAAAACATATACAAGTCAAAGTTCTCACTGATGCATATGAATGATTTTTTTAAACATGTAAATCAGGTTAAATGTTTTGGTGAATCCAATAAAGCAATTTGTGACTCACCAATTACAGCTTTAAAAATCTTAAACTGAACAAATCCCCAGGTACAGACGGGTTAACCTCAGAGTTTTATAAAGCCTTCTCTTCTCAGCTTGCTCCATTTCTCTTAAAGGTATTTTCAGAAAGTATAAACAAAGAACAACTACCACCGTCTCTATGTCAAGGTTTGATTACCTTAATTCCCAAACCTCATAAAGACACTGCACTATTAGACAACTGCCGTCCTATAACTCTCTCTCTTTCCACTAGACTAAAAAAGGTGCTTCATTGTGTGATAGAGGAATCCCAGAACCGTTTTATAACTGGACGATACATCATTGACAATAAAAGACTCATTCTAGACTTGTTAGATTACTCAGACTTCATCTCAGAAAATAGCTTCATTCTGTTCTTGGTTTTTCAGAAAGCATTTGATTCGGTGGAGCATACATTTTTGGTCAAAACATTAGATCTTTTTGGCTTTGGTGATTTGTTTAAGAAATCTGTTTGAACCTTATACTCTGCCGCAAACAGCTCAATCAAATTGCCTCATGGAACTACTACTTATAGATTCAATATTGAACGTGGTATCCACCAAGGGTGTCCTCTGAGTGCCTTCTTATTCCTCTTTCCTGTGCAAATTTTAGCTTATTCAATTCAAAATAGTCGTCTAAAAGGTATTACTATACCTTTTAGAGGGCGGCACGGTGGCTGAGTGGATAGCACTCTCGCCTCTCAGCAAGAAGGTCCTGGGTTCGAATCCCGGTCGGACCAGGGCCTTTCTGAGTGGAGTTTGCCTGTTCTCCCCGTGTCTGCGTAGGTTTCCTCCGGGTACTCCGGTTTCCCCTACCACTAAAAATATGTCCAATAGTTCTGGCATGTGCCTCCTGTACTGGCGACCCCGCTCCCATCTCTGTGTGGAGTGAGAGACAAATGCCCAAAATTAACAATTGTAAACCGCTTTGAGACTCAGATCTGCAGTGAAAAGGCGGTATATAAATAAAAACTTACTTACTTACTTACTTACTATTGCTGGAAGAGAGATAAGGATAAGCCAACTATCTGATGACACTACACGTTTTTAAAGAGATTCCTCTCAAATAGACTGTGTTATAAAGCTATTGGAAAGTTTCTCCTTAGCCTCAGGTCTCAACCTTTCTAAATGTGAACTATTGCCTGTCAAAGACTGCTGTGAGTCAGAAGTACTAGGAATTCCTGTAAAGAATATTTGGGAATTACTATTTTTAAAGATGAAAAATTAAGACCTATAGAAAACTTCAATCCCCTTACCTCACTAATACAAAATAAATGTAATATGTGGTTGTGACGGCGCCACACAGCTTGTCCTAGTACTGAGAGCAACGCACTGCGACGTGCGCTCTTTTTCTCTGGAGCGTCCGTGTTATGCACGTACTACAGCAGCGTTTACATATTACCCACGGCTAGTTGTCCGTCTGGGGGGAGTGTGAGTGCGTTTGGTGAGATCTCGGGTGCACACTAGGTCTCACCGTCGTGCTACTCACCGTTCGCGTGTGCGCGCACGTGCGTGCGCTCCTCGGGACTGCGCGCGTGTGTCCCGTGGGTTGGCCAAACAGAGGCAGAGACCACACACACATTATAAGTGTTGAGGAGCGTCATGTGATCCTTATTTTGTGTTTTTGTTTCTTATGACTGTAAAGGGGGATTATTCAGTGTGGGGATTATCCTATTCTTTACTGTGTAGTGGGGGACTATTTCTATAGTATGGTTTTGGGGGTAAATGGACTTTAAAGTCAGTGAATGTATTTTGTGTTTGTCAAACGCCCAGGGGAGGGGCTTGTGCTTTAAGAGCAGGACCGGTCTGGCCTGCTCGAGTTTAGTGATGCTTGGTTGCAGAGAAGGCAACACCTGAGAACCTGAGATGAAACATGCGCCTACAACTTGTAAATATTGCACTGTATTGCACTGGGATAATAATGGGAAATAATAAATCACTGTGAAAAGTGTTTTTTTGACTGAGCCATTGTGTTTTTGGAAAAAGACCCCACAACAGTGGTTAGGGAGAGATTTGTCCATTTCTGGTAGAATTCTATTTTCAAACGCTGAAGGTCTGTCAAGCTTAGTTTATGCCAGCTCAGCACTCGAAGTCCCTAATGACATAAATACAAAAGTATTATCTGGAAAAGAAAAAGCACCTTATTAAAAAGGATGTCATGATTAACGAGTTATCATCTGGTTCAATGTTTTAGATTTTAAAATAGTGCCTTGCATACCTGAGCCTCAAGCCATGTTTATGTGCATTTTCTATATTTCTAAATAAAATACACAATCTGTTTGACTCGCTTCAGTCTGGTTTCCGGAAGTTGCACTCCACAGAAACTGCCCTTGTTAAAGTTTGTGATGACGTGTTGATGTCGGCAGATTCTGGTCGCTGTACAATATTAGTTTTACTAGATCTGACCTCTGCTTTTGAAACTGTGGATCACAGTATTCTGATAAACCGCCTTGGAAAGACCATGGGTTTTTCTGGTTGTGTCCTGTTCACATCATATATTTGTGGAAGAACCTTCAATGTTTCTGTGAATAATATTGTGTCTGATGTGTCCCCGCTTTCTTATGGTGTTGCCCAAGGGTCTGTTCTGGACCCTTTGTTTTTATTATACCGCTTGGGAAAATTATCGACCATTTAAAAAATGTATGCTGATGATGTGTAGTTGTATTGCTCTTTGAAAGACTCTGAAATTCACTTTATCTCCCAGTTCTTGTGTGTCCGAGATCAAAGGCTGGTTAACCGAAAATCATCTGCAGCTAAATTCTAACAAGACCGAAACACTGATTTTTGCTCCCGACAATAAGATTCCAGATATCAAACAGCACCTGGGTTCACTTGGTCCCTCTGTCACATCCACCCTCAGAAACCTGGGGCTTGTTTTTGATCAGGCCTTGAATCTGGACACACACTCTAAACAACTCGTTAGAAACTGCTTTTATCATCTCAGAAACATTGTCACAGAAGGACCTGGAGATGATCATTCATGCCTTTGTTTCCACACGTCTCAACTACTGCAACTCATTGTTTACATGTCTTAATAAGAGTGCTCTAAACAGACTTCAATTTGTGAAAAATTCAGCTGCCAGACTTTTAACAGGAACTGTCCTCACTTCATTGGCTCCTAATTAAGTTACATATCAATTAAAACATTTTAGTTTTAACTTTCAGAGCCTTAAATGGCCAGGCTCCATCTTACATCTCAGACCTCTTGACCCCACACTGTTCTGGCCGCACTCTTAGGTCCACAGGCCAGAATTTACTCGTGGTCCCAAAGACCCGCTATAAGACCGGTCCTTCCAGTCCGTTGACCCCAGACTGTGGAACGCTTTGCCTCTGTCCCTCCGTGTGGTCAACTCTGCCGATGCTTTTAAAAAGGGATTAAAGACACTTCATTTTAGGGCAGCTTATAGTTCATTTCTTGTTTTTATGTTATTTTCAAATTTTTCTTATAATGTATATACATATCTGCTTTCACCTTGTACAGCACTTTGTGATTTATATCTGTGAAAGGTGCTCTATAAATAACATTTACTTACTTACTTACTAATCCAGAAAATAAAACATAACTGTACGGTTATGTACAATTCCCCCATTTTGACCCATCTGCTTAATGAACAATTAATTTCATTTCAGCAATATATCGAAGCCCTCGAGCCATTTGGTCATCTTGAAGTAGCCCTTGGATTTAAAAAGGTTGGTGACCCCTGCTTTAAGTGGACTGAACAGACAAAACACGATAAGAGTGTATGTTACTGACCTCTGTGAAGGCATTGGCTCTACAGCGTGCACACTTCCAGCCGCTATCCACACTGGCAGGATCAACACCATAGCAGCCTGGCCACACAAAACAACAGTGTTAGACTGCGTGTGACAGACTGCGTGTGACGGACTGCGTGTGACGGACTGCGTGTGTCGGACTGCGTGTGTCGGACTGCGTGTGACGGGCTGCGTGTGACAGACTGCGTGTGACGGACTGCGTGTGTCGGACTGCGTGTGTCGGACTGCGTGTGTCGGACTGCGTGTGTCGGACTGCGTGTGACGGACTGCGTGTGACGGGCTGCGTGTGACGGACTGCGTGTGACGGACTGCGTGTGACGGACTGCGTGTGACGGACTGCGTGTGTCGGACTGCGTGTGACAGACTGCGTGTGACGGACTGCGTGTGACGGGCTGCGTGTGACGGACTGCGTGTGACGGACTGCGTGTGACGGACTGCGTGTGACGGACTGCGTGTGACGGACTGCGTGTAACGGACTGCGTGTGACGGACTGCGTGTGACGGACTGCGTGTGACGGACTGCGTGTGACGGACTGCGTGTGACGGACTGCGTGTGACGACTGCGACGGACTGCGTGTGACGGACTGCGTGTGACGGACTGCGTGTGACGGACTTCGTGTGACGGACTGCGTGTGACGGACTGCGTGTGACGGACTGCGTGTGTCGGACTGCGTGTGACGGACTGCGTGTGTCGGATTGCGTGTGTCGGACTGCGTGTGACGGACTGCGTGTGACGGACTGCGTGTGACGGACTGCGTGTGACGGACTGCGTGTGTCGGACTGCGTGTCGGACTGCGTGTGTCGGACTGCGTGTGTCGGACTGCGTGTGACGGACTGCGTGTGTACGGACTGCGTGTAACGGACTGCGTGTGACGGACTGCGTGTGACGGACTGCGTGTGACGGACTGCGTGTGACGGACTGCGTGTGACGGACTGCGTGTGACGGACTGCGTGTGACGGACTGCGTGTGACGGACTGCGTGTGACGGACTTCGTGTGACGGACTGCGTGTGACGGACTGCGTGTGACGGACTGCGTGTGTCGGACTGCGTGTGACGGACTGCGTGTGTCGGATTGCGTGTGTCGGATGCGGATGCGTGACGGACTGCGTGTGACGGACTGCGTGTGACGGACTGCGTGTGACGGACTGCGTGTGTCGGACTGCGTGTCGGACTGCGTGTGTCGGACTGCGTGTGTCGGACTGCGTGTGACGGACTGCGTGTGACGGACTGCGTGTGACGGACTGCGTGTGACGGACTGCGTGTGACGGACTGCGTGTGACGGACTGCGTGTGACAGACTGCGTGACAGACGCGTGTGACAGACTGCGTGTGACAGACTGCGTGTGACGGACTGCGTGTGACGGACTGCGTGTGACAGACTGCGTGTGACAGACTGCGTGTGACAGACTGCGTGTGACGGACTGCGTGTGACGGACTGCGTGTGACGGACTGCGTGTGACGGACTGCGTGTGACAGACTGCGTGTGACAGACTGCGTGTGACAGACTGCGTGTGACGGACTGCGTGTGACGGACTGCGTGTGACGGGCTGCGTGTGACGGACTGCGTGTGTCGGACTGCGTGTGTCGGACTGCGTGTGACGGACTGCGTGTGACGGACTGCGTGTGACAGACTGCGTGTGACGGACTGCGTGTGACGGACTACGTGTGACGGACTGCGTGTGACGGACTGCGTGTGACAGACTTCGTGTGACAGACTGCGTGTGACAGACTTCGTGTGACAGACTGCGTGTGACAGACTGCGTGTGACAGACTGCGTGTGACAGACTGCGTGTGACAGACTGCGTGTGACGGACTGCGTGTGACGGACTGCGTGTGACGGACTACGTGTGACGGACTGCGTGTGACGGACTGCGTGTGACAGACTTCGTGTGACAGACTGCGTGTGACAGACTGCGTGTGACAGACTGCGTGTGACAGACTGCGTGTGACGGACTGCGTGTGACGGACTGCGTGTGACGGACTACGTGTGACGGACTGCGTGTGACGGACTGCGTGTGACAGACTTCGTGTGACGGACTGCGTGTGACAGACTTCGTGTGACAGACTGCGTGTGACAGACTTCGTGTGACAGACTGCGTGTGACAGACTGCGTGTGACAGACTGCGTGTGACAGACTGCGTGTGACAGACTGCGTGTGACAGACTACGTGTGACAGACTGCGTGTGACAGACTACGTGTGACAGACTGCGTGTGACAGACTGCGTGTAGTGTCGGACTGCGTGTGTCGAACTGCGTGTGACAGACTTCGTGTGACAGACTTCGTGTGACAGACTTCGTGTGACAGACTTCGTGTGACAGACTTTGTGTGACAGACTTCGTGTGACAGACTTCGTGTGACGGACTTCGTGTGACAGACTGCGTGTGACAGACTGCGTGTGACGGACTGCGTGTGACAGACTGCGTGTGACAGACTGCGTGTGACGGACTGCGTGTGACGGACTGCGTGTGACGGACTGCGTGTGACGGACTGCGTGTGACGGACTGCGTGTGACGGACTGCGTGTGACGGACTGCGTGTGACGGACTGCGTGTGACAGACTGCGTGTGACGGACTGCGTGTGACGGACTGCGTGTGACGGACTGCGTGTGACGGACTGCGTGTGACGGACTGCGTGTGACGGACTGCGTGTGACGGACTGCGTGTGACGGACTGCGTGTGACGGACTGCGTGTGACGGACTGCGTGTGACGGACTGCGTGTGACAGACTGCGTGTGACAGACTGCGTGTGACAGACTGCGTGTGACAGACTGCGTGTGGGTAATGTTTGAAGTTGTATCCGTGCTCTGTGCCCCAAGGACGGCTGCGTTCGTTGCAGCCCCCGCTGTTAGCTTAAGCCAGGAATTTAAGTCCAAACTTTTTATTATTTACAGCTCAACAAATCACTGAAATGACAATAAAGGGTCATGTTTCTCGCCTCAAATGTTGTTTAAAGTAACATTTTGGCCCTATTTATTGTATTATCGTTCAGAACTGTCAACTCAGACGTGGTTCTGTTGATTACAGAGTGACAATCTCCACTGTCGGCACTATAAAAATTGCTTGATCCTTCTCATTGCTGAAAAAAAATTTACTCATTCAAACTCTACACAGCATACGCAGCATTGAAAATAGTATAACTCTTATTATGGGTGAAAACTAAGTCGCAAAAAGCTCAGATGAATGAGTCTTCCTGCATCGCCCATTCTATCTAATAGGAAAAAAAAATTGTCCTGTCCTACGACCCCTGCCACGGCCTCTTTTGGTCACGTGGGTGCAACCCAGCATTACAGCTGCTCAATAAGGCAGCTGTAAATAAATAAATACAAAGTTTGGTCACATGCGCAGCCTAAAGCCTGGTTTAAGTGGGCTAGGGCCCACTTCGCGATTTGATCCGGGCTTTAGGTTCCATGTGACCGCTGAAAGTGAGCTTGGGCGTGATTGCTCCAATCGTGCTCTTGCTCGTTTGAAGACTTGGGCCAGGGCCCACTTTGTAAAGCCCAGATGAGGGGGGTCAGTGTGGGGGGGAGTAGGGGATGAGGTGTGGTGGGGACTTGATATTGTGCGTCACATTAGGTCTTCCGTTGTGAGGTACATTTTCACACTTTCGCATTCTCCACTTGTGTTAAAACTTTTCATATAAGCCCCCAGACCGTGGTCGAGGGGCGCAGGGGGCCGTGGTCGAGGGGCGCAGGGGGCCGTGGTCGAGGGGCGCAGGGGGCCGTGGTCGAGGGGCGCAGGGGGCCGTGGTCGAGGGGCGCAGGGGGGTGTGGTCGAGGGGCGCAGGGGGTGTGTTGCTGCAGGGTCAAAGGGAAACGTTTCCTACAGGAATAACTCCCTCACAGTGTGGTGCTGTTGCAATAACACTTCAAACATTCAAGGATCACTCTTTATTTAATCGCCAGAACACACACTTCTATCCTGCCCGTCTCTGGTCGCTCTGCTCGTAGCCACACTTTTCATTCTTTCATTCTCATTCATTCAAGTGTGACATGTCTTTCCCTAAACAACGCGATCCGTACTGAGCTGTTAGCTGCAGTAGCTGTTAGCTACTACTGCTCATGTGAAAGAGTATGTTTGCAAGTTTGACCGCCGATACAAAGTAGCCAAAAGCTTCAATCCAGAGAGGAGTGTTCATTAACATGCACTGTCTCAATAAAAAAACAATGAATAAAAAAACGTACTAGCATGAACGCGCACGCAGCACTCCGAGCAGCTGATGAGTAGACTGGTGCCATCCTCTTCCACGTAGGCTGTGCTAAAGGTCCGCTCATTGTCCTCTGCCTCTTCCTCTGTGGTGATGCTGAAGCAGAACTCTGGGATGAGGGGCTTGCTCCTCATCTCATCTCCAGGAAGAATGATAGGACTGTCCGCACTACCAGCTCCCTGCAACAAACAATCAAGTAATTTAATTTTTTGTGTCCTGCTTTTTGTACATACAGTTAAAAAAAAACGAAACACTTCTGACTTCATTAGAGTCAGATAAAACAGAGGCCCAAACACTCTTTGACCTGACATCGCAACCAAATCCCTTCCTCCATCAACTTCTTAAATACTTATTTTCATAAAAACAATGTTTAACTGCTCCAAACTTGAACACGATTTTACTTCATCTGGCAAGTTGTTCCAAAGAGAAGCTTTAGTTTTGAAGTAGCTCTACATTTAGGCACACACACCTCTATTGCGGAATACATTGTGTACATTAGATGACTCAGTGGTGGTTCCGCTGACACCAGTCCACAAAGTCCAATATGACTCCTCTGTACTCTGCATCATTGCCTTCGGAGCTGAGTCCGATGATGGCAGAGTCGTCAGAGAACTTCTGTAGAACACAACCGTCTGTGTTGTGTCTGAAGTCCGCAGTGTAGAGGGTGAAGAGGAACGGTGCGAGGACTGTTCCCTGGGGGGCCCCCACACTGCAGGTCAGGACCTCAGACACAAAGTCCCTGGTTCTCACAAACTGGGGTCTGTCTGTGAGGTAGTCCAGTATCCACTGGGACAGGTCGTAGCGGAGCCGGGTTTCTCTAGGTGGGACAGGGAGCGATGGAGGAGGGAGATGATAGCGTCCTCAACTCCTATGCCCGACTGGTACGCCAACTGCAGCGCGTCCAATGCTGGACTCAGAGTGGAGCGGAGATGTCCCAGGACCAGTCTCTCTATGGGAATTAGATTGAGATGTTAGAGCCATTGGCCTGAAGTCTCTGAGGTCTTTGGCACTGGTACCACACAGGAGGTCTTCCAAAGCTGTGGTACCAACCTCAGCCTGAGGCTCAGGTTGAAGACATGTCCCATAACCCCACACAGTTCGTCTGCGCAGGAGCTAAGGGGCCTGGAGCTAACGTGGTCTTGTCCTAATTTTATCCATCACAACTTTCACTTGGGCAGATGTGAAAGAAAGGGGAGGGCTGGGGGGCTGGGTGAGTCCATGTGTGTGAGGGGAGGGGGGCTGTGGGGCAGTGATGGAGGAGTGAACGACCGGGCTATTGTCCACTGCTGAGGCTGGGACATGCAACTGAGCTGCCGTGGTCATGCCGCGCTACGGAGCTCCTTGCTGCCAGCAGCTCGTCCCTTGTATAAACAATGGGTAAGCCTGGGGAGAGGGGGTGTTTTGATCCCACACACATCGCAGCAGCATGTCCTCAAAACTTGGATAATCCAGCAGAACTTGCCGTGGTAATATGTAGTCTGGGTGACTCGGTTATTCTACCAGTGATGTATAAAAACAGCTATTGAGAGGAAAGTACAGTACATTATACTTGCCTCTTATTGCCAAATGTAAATTGTGTGTTTCATCTCCGTTTACATTTCCTCCATGAGGGTGAATGGAAGTGGCTCCACTGTCCGCAACAAGCGCCCGTATGACGCGCGTAGGGAGCAGTGCGTCCATGCAGGGTGCAACGGACGTGGACGGACGAAATAGAAACAATCCTATTTTTTACGTACGTCGCGTGTCGGGTCCGTTTTCCATACATTTTACTTTTTCCACCATGTTTGACAGTGGGGATGGTGTGTTCAGGGTGATGAGCTGTGTTGCTTTTACGCCAAACATATCGTTTTGCATTGTGGCCAAAAAGTTCCATTTTGGTTTCATCTGACCAGAGCACCTTCTTCCACATGTTTGGTGTGTCTCCCAGGTGGCTTGTGGCAAACTTTAAACCAGACTTTTTATGGATATCTTTGAGAAATGGCTTTCTTCTTGCCACTCTTCCATAAAGGCCAGATTTGTGCAGTGCACGACTGATTGTTGTCCTATGGACAGACTCTCCCACCTCAGCTGTAGTTATCTGTAGTTCATCCAGAGTGATCATGGGCCTCTTGGCTGCATCTCTGATCAGTCTTCTCCTTGTTTGAGATGAAAGTTTGGAGGGACGGCCGGGTCTTGGTAGATTTGCAGTGGTCTGATACACCTTCCATTTCAATATAATTGCTTGCACAGTGCTCCTTGAGATGTTTAAAGCTTGGGAAATCTTTTTGTATCCAAATCCGGCTTTAAACTTCTCCACAACAGTATCTTGGACCTGCCTGGTGTGTTCCTTTGTCTTCATGGTTCTCTCTGCGCTTTAAACAGAACCCTGAGACTATCAAAGAGCAGGTGCATTTATACGGAGACTTGATTACACACAGGTGCATTCTATTTATCATCATCAGTCATTTAGGACAACATTGGATCATTCAAAGATCCTCACTCATTGTAGTTAATTCATGACAAAAAAATAAAATTTTATATCTTTATGTTTGAAGCCTGAAATGTGGCGAAATGTTGAAAGGTTCAAGGGGGCCGAATACTTTCAAGACACTGTATATACTGCTAATCCAGGAAAATAGTCCTAAACTATCTTTGTGTGAGATTTATGGCAGGAGAGCAGTACCTGCTGGTATGTGTGGAAGAGGGCGCATACGCAGCAGTATGGTTGTTTCCTCCCCATACGCAGATTGTACTCCCTCTCTTTCTTTGGATTGTGTGGTCGGCTCTGCCACAGCTGGGCCAAAGGTTTACTCCAGATTTCACCTTCCAGGCTGCCTTCATTCACCAGGGTCATCTCCTCTGGGACCTCTACAACACAGCGCCATACAAAATGAAGAGGTCAAACAGTTCTGTGCAAGACGTAATTCCCTACAGCTTTTGCAAGGACTAAGAAAAAGCTTCATGTTTGATGCTGCTTTTACACCGGATCATGCTGCGTCGGCTTTCCATGCAAAGTCAATGGTGACACGCGTTCGAGCGTCGAACTGCATGTGCGCCTCGGAATGCACGCACTGACTGCTCTGTAGAGACGCACGGACTGCTCTGTAGAGACGCACGGACTGCTCTGTAGAGACGCACGGACTGTTCTGTAGAGACGCACGGACTGTTCAGTAGAGACGCACGGACTGTTCTGTAGAGACGCACAGACTGTTCTGTAGAGACGCACGGACTGTTCAGTAGAGACGCACGGACTGTTCTGTAGAGACGCACGGACTGTTCAGTAGAGACGCACGGACTGTTCAGTAGAGACGCACGGACTGTTCAGTAGAGACGCACAGACTGTTCAGTAGAGACGCACAGACTGTTCTGTAGAGACGCACGGACTGTTCAGTAGAGACGCACGGACTGCTCGGTAGAGACGCACGGACTGCTCGGTAGAGACGCACGGACTGCTCGGTAGAGACGCACGGACTGCTTGGTAGAGACGCACGGACTGTTCAGTAGAGACGCACGGACTGCTCTGTAGAGACGCACGGACTGTTCTGTAGAGACGCACGGACTGTTCTGTAGAGACGCACAGACTGCTCTGTAGAGACGCACGGACTGTTCTGTAGAGACGCACGGACTGTTCTGTAGAGACGCACGGACTGCTCTGTAGAGACGCACAGACTGTTCTGTAGAGACGCACGGACTGTTCTGTAGAGACGCACAGACTGCTCTGTAGAGACGCACGGACTGTTCTGTAGAGACGCACGGACTGTTCTGTAGAGACGCACGGACTGTTCTGTAGAGACGCACGGACTGCTCTGTAGAGACGCACGGACTGCTCGGTAGAGACGCACGGACTGCTTGGTAGAGACGCACGGACTGTTCAGTAGAGACGCACGGACTGCTCTGTAGAGACGCACGGACTGCTCTGTAGAGACGCACGGACTGTTCTGTAGAGACGCACGGACTGTTCTGTAGAGACGCACGGACTGCTCTGTAGAGACGCACGGACTGCTCGGTAGAGACGCAACGGACTGCTTGGTAGAGACGCACGGACTGTTCAGTAGAGACGCACGGACTGTTCTGTAGAGACGCACGGACTGTTCTGTAGAGACGCACAGACTGCTCTGTAGAGACGCACGGACTGTTCAGTAGAGACGCACGGACTGTTCTGTAGAGACGCACGGACTGTTCAGTAGAGACGCACGGACTGTTCTGTAGAGACGCACAGACTGTTCTGTAGAGACGCACGGACTGTTCTGTAGAGACGCACGGACTGTTCTGTAGAGACGCACGGACTGCTCTGTAGAGACGCACGGACTGCTCGGTAGAGACGCACGGACTGCTTGGTAGAGACGCACGGACTGTTCAGTAGAGACGCACGGACTGCTCTGTAGAGACGCACGGACTGCTCTGTAGAGACGCACGGACTGCTCTGTAGAGACGCACAGACTGTTCTGTAGAGACGCACGGACTGTTCTGTAGAGACGCACGGACTGCTCTGTAGAGACTCACGGACTGCTCTGTAGAGACTCACGGACTGCTCTGTAGAGACTCACTGACTGCTCTGTAGAGACTCACGGACTGCTCTGTAGAGACTCACGGACTGCTCTGTAGAGACTCACGGACTGCTCTGTAGAGACTCACGGACTGCTCTGTAGAGACTCACGGACTGTTCTGTAGAGACGCACGGACTGTTCTGTAGAGACGCACGGACTGTTCTGTAGAGACGCATGGACTGCTTGGTAGAGACGCACGGACTGCTCTGTAGAGACGCACGGACTGCTCTGTAGAGACGCACGGACTGTTCAGTAGAGACACACGGACTGTTCTGTAGAGACGCACGGACTGCTCTGTAGAGACGCACGGACTGTTCTGTAGAGACGCACGGACTGCTCTGTAGAGACACACGGACTGCTCACTAGAGACGCACGGACTGTTCTGTAGAGACGCACGGACTGTTCTGTAGAGACGCATGGACTGCTTGGTAGAGACGCACGGACTGCTCTGTAGAGACGCACGGACTGCTCTGTAGAGACGCACGGACTGTTCAGTAGAGACACACGGACTGTTCTGTAGAGACGCACGGACTGCTCTGTAGAGACGCACGGACTGCTCTGTAGAGACGCACGGACTGTTCTGTAGAGACGCACGGACTGCTCTGTAGAGACGCACGGACTGTTCTGTAGAGACGCACGGACTGCTCTGTAGAGACGCACGGACTGCTCACTAGAGACGCACGGACTGCTCTGTAGAGACGCACAGACTGCTCTGTAGAGACGCACGGACTGCTCTGTAGAGACGCACGGACTGTTCTGTAGAGACGCACGGACTGCTCTGTAGAGACACACGGACTGCTCACTAGAGACGCACGGACTGCTCTGTAGAGACGCACAGACTGCGCGGCAAAGGCACGAGGGAGATGCAGGAGCGGAAAATTGACGCACGCAGGAGATAATTTTTGCTGAGCATTTCCTCAGACGCTCGTGCAGCGACCAATCAGAGAGCCGCAAATTGGTCACGGGGACATTAGTGGTCTGAGTGAGCAGACTGAACATACTGTAAACAGCTAAACCAGGACTAAACCAGGACTAAACCAGGGTTGACAATGGGGGACATAGCGCTTGTGAACATATGCGTTTACAAGCTCCCGTGACTTTATGCAACTGCTTTGAACGTGTTCGCCGATGTGGAAGCACCGTTTAATAATAAAATAAACTGATGGCGCACCTCTGTGAACACATACTACTGTTATATAAAGTCTCTGGAAGGTCTCTGGACACAAAGACGCTGCAGAGCTGCATTATTGGAAAATAACTTTACACAAAAAGCTTTTAAAGTGCGCCCGCGCGCCACTTCTGGCCAGGACTTCTGGTGTGAAGACCCCTGCGTCTGAAAATTAGAGAATGTGTGTCTGGTGCGCGAGGCGTCAGTGTTCCAGCGTTGGCGGTGTGAAAGCAGCTTAAGTCTAATTTTATAATCTGCTGGCCCTCAAAGCTCAACTATGTACCCATCCCATTAGAAACACAGTCTCGTCCAAGGCAAGGGAGAGCTTAACCCGCACCTGAGCATGCAGAATGGGTGGTACATTTGGATGAGGTCAGAGATGTAGAGATAACTACTGCTGTGATTTAGCTTTTTGGTGAGTTAAAAGCTGGGGCACAACTGTAGTCCGTAAAGTGCATTGTGTGATACATATGATTGGAGTCGTAATTATAAAAAATTGGCATCTTAGCCAAAACATACTTTTCATCAAAGTTTATCACAATTCCTGATATTTACATTAAAAAGTGTTTGGGTAACACTTTATAATGTTTGATTATAAATAATTTATAAAAAACAGGGATCATGACTAACTAGTTTATTATATTAACACTTATATACAACATGTCTTAACTACATTATTTGTTCATTAGTATAATGAATTGGTAATGTTTAGCTGACTACATGTAAATGTATGTTACATTTTGGTAATGTAACTAATAAAGGTTCATCTTATCTTAAAGGTGCACTTTATTTATCCCGGCATTTGACCCTGATGCCACTAGGGTGTGTGGCAGTGGTCGTCATAGTACAGCGCCCGGAACCCAAGTTGGATTTACCCATTGGGCATGTTTTTAGTTGTAGGGGAAACCGGAGCACCCGGAGGAGCACGGGGAGAACATGCAAACTCCACTTAGAAAAACCCTGTTCCGATCAGAATTTGAACCCAGGATCTTCTTGCTGAGTGCTATCGACCCAGCCCAATGTGTAGGTAATCATGAATACTTAACAATTACAAAATATTTATAATCAAATATTATTATAAAATGTTACTGAGGTACCGAGGGGGACTGGTGCACTGCTAGTGTCATGAAGAAGGAGAACGATGAGGGCCTTTTCAACAAACATCTTAAAACATCAGTATTAGCCACTTTATCTTTTGGGCCCTTAGGAGAGGAGCTCAGCCCTGCTGGGAGAAGACCCCAGGGAAGACCCAGGACACGTTGGAGGGACTATGTCTGGGGATTGTCTGGGGATTGTCTGGGGATTGTCTGGGGATTCCCCCAGATGAGCTGGTGAAAGCGTGTGTGGATAGGGAAGTCTGGGCGTCTCTGCTAGGCTTCTGCCTGCAAGACCCAGCAACGAATGAAACGGAAGGAACTGTATGGATGTATGCAAACTTCTGTTTTTCACTGTATGTGGAATACAAGGATATTAAGCATGTTTAAGGATCAGACCTCCGTCGCTCACGCCTTCCTTAATAAGTGGGTGATATCCTGGCAACCTGTCCAGATCAGTCTCTGGGGTACTGTCCACAGCCATCTCTTCATTCTGGGAAAGAAAAGTAAAGTTATCTTGTGTTCTACTGCCTCGTTCTGCTGATCTCCATTGGGGATCATGGAGATGTAGCCTGGATCACAGCAACTCCCCCTTCCCCGAGCTCACGCTGACTTGTTTGTGAACACACAGCATGGGGGTTTGGTGTTTGCTGGTACGTAGGAGTACTTTCTAAAAATTGTGATCGGTCAAGGAGAGCCCTATTTGAGTGCGTTCACAGTAAAGTGTCAATTAAAGTATCTGGACTTTAAAAGGCTACAACTCAAAAACTAAATTTACTATCATAGATTGGAAAAAAAGATTTCAAACACAGACAGATCAAAGAGATAGTGTGTATAAAATCAAAAGGAAAGATTGATAAATACATTTTACTTTAGACCGTCGTGAGACAGGTTAGTTTTAGCGGATCCTCTGGCCATCCTGGAGAGGCCTTGTTCCAGCCTCTTCCCTGGGGGAGATGATTCTGCTCCCTGCGGTGCAGGACCACCCGCCATGCGAATAGCTTCTTCCCTCAGGCGGTAATAAGTAAAACACTTGATTTAAAAAGGAATCTTTTTTTTTCAATTATCTATAAACATTTAAATGACCCTTGATATATGGGTAACAGACGTAGGGCTGGGCGATATAAACAGTAAAAGCCGTATGCGATACAAATTTGGCCAACGGTAGAGATTTTTGTTATACCGGCATATTGCGATTGGTAATTACAGTGGGGCAAAAAAGTATTTAGTCAGCCTCCGACTGTGCAAGTTCTCCCACTTAAAATAATGACAGAGGTCTGTAATGTTCATCATAGGTACACTTCAACTGTGAGAGACAGAATGTGAAAAAAAAATCCAGGAATTCACATTGTAGGATTTTTAAAGAATTCATTTGTAAATGATGGTGGAAAATAAGTATTTGGTCAATAACTAAAATTCAACTCAATACTTTGTAATATAACCTTTGTTGGCAATAACAGGTCAAACGATTACTATAGGTCTTTACCAGGTTTGCACACACAGTAGCTGGTATTTTGGCCCATTCCTCCATGCAGATCTTCTCGAGAGCAGTGAACACGGACTTTCAACTCCCTCCACAGATGTTCAATGGGGTTGAGGTCTGGAGACTGGCGAGGCCACTCCAGGACTTTCAAATGCTTCTTACGGAGCCACTCCTTCGTTGCCCGGGCGGTGTGTTTGGGATCATTGTCATGCTGGAAGACCCAGCCACGTTTCATCTTCAAAGCTCTCACTGATGGAAGGAGGTTTTGGCTCAAAATCTCACAATACATGGCCCCATTCATTCTTTCCTTAACACAGATCAGTCTTCGTGTCCCCTTAGCAGAAAAACAGCCCCAAAGCATGACGTTTCCACCCCCATGCTTCACAGTAGGTATGGTGTTCTTGGGATGCAAGTCAGTTGAGTTTATACCAAACAGTTGTACTTTGGGCTCTACCGACAGTAGAGCATTGGCTCTACTGTCGGTAGAGCAGTAGCTCAGTTGGTAGAGCATTGGCCTTTGAGCCTGAAGGTCGTGGGATCGAGCCCACCGTAAGACCTACTTCACGACTCCCACTGATGACTGCTGTCGTTGTGTCCTTAGGCAAGACACTTAACCCTACTTTGCCTGAAGCTCCCACTGAAAGATCTCAGCTTCTGTGGACTCACCACCTGCAGGAGGATCAGTGAGGAGCTGGTGCTCTGTGTACTGGGTGGCATCTCTGGCCACCCCTCCGTCCCAGAAATGGATTAAGGGGAAGAAAATGGATGGATGGATGGAGTTGTACTTTGGTTTCATCTGACCACATGACATTCTCCCAATCCTCTGCTGTATCATCCATGTGCTCTCTGGCAAACTTCAGACGGGCCTGGACATGCACTGGCTTCAGCAGGGGGACACGTCTGGCACTGCAGGATTTGATTCCCTGTCGTCGTAGTGTGTTACTGATGGTAACCTTTGTTACTTTGGTCCCAGCTCTCTGCAGGTCATTCACCAGGTCCCCCCGTGTGCTTCTGGGATATTTGATCACCGTTCTCATCATCATTTTGACCCCACGGGATGAGATCTCAGATTCAGATTCAGATTCAGTTTATTTGCCATTTGCAGTAAAAACACCACATTGGAATACATTAGCAAAAGTCACCAGTGTGCACAGACAAATACAGACATAAAACAACATTAAAAGACAAAAATAAAACAAATAAAACAGTAAACAAGTGTCACTGTGAAATCGATCGACTAAAACAGTTTCAAAACAAGTGCAAATCATTAAAGTGCTCTGTTCACACTGATAACAGCCTGTGGATAAAAACTGTTAGCGTAACGAGATGTCCTGCATCTCAGAGAGCGATATCTTATCAGTGTGAAACAGAGCACTTTAATGATTTGCACTTGTTTTGAAACTGTTTTTAGTCGATCGATTTCACAGTGACACTTGTTTACTGTTTTATTTGTTTTATTTTTGTCTTTTAATGTTGTTTTATGTCTGTATTTGTCTGTGCACACTGGTGACTTTTGCTAATGTATTCCAATGTGGTGTTTTTACTGCAAATGGCAAAATAAATGAATCTGAATCTGAATCTGAGATCTCATCCCGTGGGGTCAAAATGATGATGAGAACGGTGATCAAATATCCCAGAAGCACACGGGGGGACCTGGTGAATGACCTGCAGAGAGCTGGGACCAACAGTAACAAAGGTTACCATCAGTAACACACTACGACGACAGGGAATCAAATCCTGCAGTGCCAGACGTGTCCCCCTGCTGAAGCCAGTGCATGTCCAGGCCCGTCTGAAGTTTGCCAGAGAGCACATGGATGATACAGCAGAGGATTGGGGAGAATGTCATGTGGTCAGATGAAACCAAAGTACAACTCCATCCATCCATCCATTTTCTTCCCCTTAATCCATTTCTGGGACGGAGGGGTGGCCAGGATGGATTAAGGGGAAGAAATGGATGGATGGATGGAGTTGTACTTTGGTTTCATCTGACCACATGACATTCTCCCAATCCTCTGCTGTATCATCCATGTGCTCTCTGGCAAACTTCAGACGGGCCTGGACATGCACTGGCTTCAGCAGGGGGACACGTCTGGCACTGCAGGATTTGATTCCCTGTCGTCGTAGTGTGTTACTGATGGTAACCTTTGTTACTTTGGTCCCAGCTCTCTGCAGGTCATTCACCAGGTCCCCCCGTGTGCTTCTGGGATATTTGATCACCGTTCTCATCATCATTTTGACCCACGGGATGAGATCTCAGATTCAGATTCAGATTCAGTTTATTTGCCATTTGCAGTAAAAACACCACATTGGAATACATTAGCAAAAGTCACCAGTGTGCACAGACAAATACAGACATAAAACAACATTAAAAGACAAAAATAAAAACAAATAAAACAGTAAACAAGTGTCACTGTGAAATCGATCGACTAAAAACAGTTTCAAAACAAGTGCAAATCATTAAAGTGCTCTGTTCACACTGATAACAGCCTGTGGATAAAAAACTGTTAGCGTAACGAGATATCGCTCCGATGTGGAGTGGTCAACCGCTCGCTGCACAGACATGGAGAGGAGCAAGAAAAGACCCCATTTTATGAATCCAAGGTAAGACTTTTAAAAAAAAAAAACATAACAATTGGCTGAAAACATTTGTTTTTATGCATTTGTCCTGGTTGTGTGCTATGCAGAACTCGTAGCAATGAGACGCTGCATTGTACATAGCCTAGCACACAACCACACATTTAACGCAAACACGTACTTGAGTCGCTGCATTGTACATAGCCTATGCACACAACCACACATATAAAGCAAATTCGTAGCATTGATGTCAGCTGCATTAACATATCCCAGCCTATGCACACACCACACATAAAAAGCTAATTCGTATCTTAGAGTACGCTGAGCATTGTTACAAAGCCTAGCACACAACCACTACATATAAATGTCTAATTCGAAGCTTGAGTCAGCTGCATTGTACAAAGCCTCGCACACAACCCCACATATAAAGCTAATCGTAGCTTGGAGTTCGCTGCCCTTGTACATAGCCTAGCACACAACCACACATAAAAAGCTAATTCGTAGACTATAGAGTCCTGCATTCTACATAGTCCAAGCAACACAACCACACATATAAAGCAAAAACGTATCTTGGATACGCAGCAATGTACAAATCCTAGCAACACAACCACACATAAAAAAAGCTAATTCGTAGGCAGAGAGTCGCTGCAATGTACATAGCCTAGCACACAACCACACATAAAAAGCTAATTCGTAGCTTGAAGTCGCTGCATTGTACAAAGCAGCACACAACCACACATATAAAGCTAATTCCGTATCATGAGTCGCTGCATTGTACATAGCCAAGCACACACCACACATATAAAATGCTAACTCGAACTTTAGTCGCTGCATTGTACATAGCCTAGCACACCACCACACATATAAAGCTCATTCGTAGCTTGATCTCTGACATTTGTACAAAGCCTAAGAACCACAACCACACATATAAAGCTAACTTCGTAGCTTGAGTCGCTGCATTGTACATAGCCTACGCACACAACCACACATATAAAGCTAATTCAGAAGCTAGGTCGGCTTGCAATTGTACAAAGCCTAGCACACAAACCACACATATAAAGCTAACTCCGTACAAGAGTACGCTGCATTGAACATAGCCTAGCACACAACCACACATATAAAGCTAACTCGTACTGAGGTCGCAGCATTGAAACAAAGTCCTAGCACACCAACCACACATATAAAGTCTAATTCGTAGCTTGAGTCGCTGCATTTAACAAAGCCTAGCACACAAGCCACACATATAAAGCTAATCTTCGTTAGCTTGAGATCGCTGCATTGTACAATAGCCTACACACAACCACACAAATAAAGCTAATTCGTAGCTTGAGTCGCTGCATTTTACATAGCCTAGCACACAACCACACACTAAAGCTAAATCGTAGCTTGAAGTCGCTGCATTGTACATAGCCTAGCCACACAACCAC